TCCCAAAGATATTACTGCAATGACCAGTTTGAAGATGCATATTGAAATAGAGCAAAATATTTGCATTTCAGAACACGAGGGCCTCATTTGTTTTTTTTCTTCTCCCCATATACTTCTTTGTTGACACGTCTTGAAGGAAAGGCTAGCTTTTACAAGCAGTTTGGAAGAAGTGTACTTAAAACACGGACTTGCATGAAAAGAGGGTGTGGTGGACAGGCCAGAAGCGGTGACCCTTGCCAATACCGTGTTGACATGTGAGAGGACTCAAAGATGGTAGCAAATACAGAGGCAGTGGCATAGATCTATATTGTTACAGAGGCCTACAAAATCTACCTACATATTTACCAAAAGGCTCTTCTGTAACAAAAGGCTACAGCTGGTTTGTGACATTTAATCTGTCGTATCCCAGACACTTTCCAATTCTCTTACTCTGCCTCCTTCTGCTCCAGTGACGAAGTATAGCTTTGAAATACAAATCAATTTGGAATATAGGAAAAAGCCTATGAAAAAAACTTGAGAAATGTGTTTGTGCAATCTCTTACTTTGCACATATTTAATTACTTTAAAACTACTACTACAATTCCGCAAAATCAAATCTCATCTTCATGCACTCCTTCTAGAAAATAAAAATATTTCATAGAAAAGATTGATAATACAGAGAGAAATATGCTTTCTCTCCTTCTCACTGAATTAAGGTACTTGTTAGTTTAAGCTCATCATCAGTTTAAATGGCCCTATGATGGGCTTAAAGCTAACACTCACAAATTAAACTTGAAGTGGCAATTGCCTGCATTCAGACGAAGATAAGAGAACAAATTCAGGGCTAATTAAAAATTCTCTCAATGGAAAACACTAAACTGTTAGTATTATGATTTCTGTTTCACAATTGTCTATATTCCTCTGTTATGACTGATCCTCCCCCAATTTGATGTCAGAGAAGGATGACACTAGCTGTATTTTTAAACAAGCTAGCAAAGGAGACTTTCCCTTTCCTTTTCGTGCATTTTCTCCAGTGCTATCATGGCCTGTAATCTAACATTACCATCAGTATCTGGTTCTTTGCTGTATACTGAAGCTGCAAAACAGTGAACTGCACTGTTCTTGTCAGTATTTTTTTTCTTGGTATCCAATACATATATCCCCTCCACTAAGCACATTTCTCCTTTCTCCCATTTATTGTAACATCTTTTCCCATGATGTACTACAAGCCAGTGAACTGAGAGGTTTACTACCAGGAAGGCTATGTATCCTAGTAGAATGTAATAATTTAGAATATGATCACTCCCCTGATCACAAGAGATGACTACAGACTGATGTACTGGACAGCTAACAAGCACATGCCTGCAAACTCTGTTAACACAACTGTTGCAGCATTCCCACTCCTATCTCCAGAACCAAGCTGAAAGGGACATTTGCTATTCTGAATAATTGATGGTTTCAGCTTATTATTATTACAGCTCCAAAGCACAGATACATGGGGGATCCGTCATTATAACCTGATGCAACGCCAGGCATAATTATGGATACCCTCAAAGTTCCGTAGAGCATTTAGGATGTTGTTTTTCATTACCATGGGATTTCCACAGGTATTTTATTTTGGAAAAAAAAATGTTACTAGCTTTCTATGGCTTTTGGGATATTACAGAAAATACCACCAGATTCCAAAACAGTGCATATTAGCTGTTTCTGCATTTGACCATGAGTATCAGGGGGTGATGACTAGCAAAAGTACTCATGAGATGTCCGTCCTTCAAGACCTCTTAAATGAGCTCGCTCTAGACTGAGATGCCTTATGTGCATTTAGTGGTCTTGAAGGCCCTCTGCTCCCTAAAGCCATACTGCAGCCTGCCTGACACAATCCTGTTTCCTTCTGTCATTCTTCCACTTCCACCTTTTCTCCTCTGATGGTCCGAGATTTGTGGAGCACACTTTTCTTGATTTTTGGAGAGGTATGAAAAATCAGTTCCATTTAAATCCTGTTCAACTAACTATTTCAACAGGTGCACATCAATAGCCCAAACTAGGAGAAAAATCTTACCTGCTTAAATTTTTCATGCAAATGCCTGAGCATCTTGTTTAATATAATTTGTAGGCTTTTTTTTTTTTTAATTCTGGTTAAGAAAATTTGTCCTGCACAGTACTGATTGTATTGTTACATAGTTATTTGCAGCTAAAATGCCACATGCCACTTATAAGGAGAAAGGACTACTTATTCTATACTCAAAATACATTAAGAAATGGACTTTGCTCTACAAGTGGTCATAGGCTTAAAAGTACTGCACATCTTCATGGTGTATGAGATTAAAAAATTATTTGAAAGAGACTCTACACAAAATCTTCCTGAAGGAGAATCTTCCTGGAGCAAAGGAAGGAATAGGGCAGTTGAACCGTTCCAACTGCTCAACTCTTTCTCTTTGCCTCTGAAGCTAAAGATCTTTCCCCTCACTTACCAGAACTATCCTATGGCTGTAGTGCAAGAACTAGACTGGATTTTAAAAGAAAGTCAAGAATGTACTGTTGCTTCTTTACTTTTTTGAAGCCTTCAACAGGTACTGGTTTCCAAATTACTTGGGGACTCGGTGAGAATTGCTTTCTATTTTTAGATCAAAAGCCATCTTGAAAATACAATCAGGAAAAATATTTCAATGCTTATCAGAAGAGTTTCTATTAATGACAGCAGAAACAATGGAGGGATTTCTTTAGAATACAGAGTTTCAAGAACCAATTTTATGGGTCTATGGAAAGACACTGTGGAAATAAGGGTGATCTTGGAGAGCTGGATGTACTGAGAAAGCCTGCATTGACTGTAGTCCATAGAAAACACACAGGAACTTGAGGCAACATCTGATAACAGCTGACATTATGATCAAGTACTGCCTCTTGCACCCATTTCACCTCTATTGATTGATAGGTTTGCTCTAGGTAGATGTCCTGATCACCAAACCTGGAGGCTACAGAAATGAGGATTACTGTGGTTAGCTCTGCATGTCACAACAGGGGATGCAGTCTTTTACTTCAGTTATGCAAGGCCACCTCATTGCCACTGATGCTTATGTACTTCCATAGCCCCAGAAGGTCACAAAGGACCTCAAGTTTGACTTCAGGCTACACATGTCAGTAAAGAAGTAAACAGTGGTATGGAGCATTATAAAAATGACTTCGTACTTGTGCCTGGGGTCCACCTGTAAGCAACTGCTCTTCATACCTCTTCCAATCACACAGGCACTGAATACACTGGAGATGATTCTGTTTAAACTTCATTTAAGAGAGCTCTAGAGCTGGATACTGATGTGTGCTGGTGACATTTGTTGCAGTTTCATCTCTTTTCACTGGCTCAGATCTACATGTGGATGTTGTGTAAGTACCAGCTCCCTGCTGACTGACTCCAGGGCATATCTGCCCACAGAGTTCTCTGGTTCTTCTCCAAGGTCAAACCCAACATTATGCTACGAGTAGAGTGGGACCACATCACAAAATGTTGAAATGGACGCTTTCAGGGAGCTACTCCTAACAAAAAGCACTCTCTCTTCCACGTGTCTTCTGACAAAGAGAACACTGCTCACAAAAGGCCAGTTTGTTTGCAGGACATCCTTTAGCTAGTATTGTAATTTGATGTACTACTGCAAAGTTCACTGACTACAACTAGTTTTAAGTATTAGTGTTTCAAATCTAAACAGCGTCCTCTGTTATTTCCTCAGTTCCCTCCCTCTGCCCTCCACACAGACGTAGTGGATACTTGTGTTACAGATATAATAGGCTGGTGTGCTTTACACTCGATGCTCGGTTCCAGTTCCTCAGAAATCAAAGCAATGGAGTAAGAATTTTTTTGCTTCAGTAGTTATTAAGATGTATCACATTTGCCCAGTAACAGGAAAGGAGTGTATGTGCTGCAATGGAAAGGATTTGATAACAGCAACTTCTTTGCCTCCCCACCACATCTGACAAGAGACCGAGCAATGTTCTCAAACCAAAATAAGACGTAAAAATATAACAAGATTACAACATTCAGGTAGTAGGTTTAGCACAGCACATAGAGTAAGGCAGGAGGTCATGCTGAAAGTACTAATAATCTAGATTTTCCAAGTGTACAGAGAGATGAAAACGTGTCAAAACTTATCCCACATTGAGACCAATGGAACCAAACCATGATTTTAAGTCAGTTACAGTCAGACTGTTTTCAGTCACTTCTTTCTTAACACCCCTCCCACACCTCCCAGCCTTTTGAGATTCAGAGAGGATGGTCTGAGTCACGTTTTTTTGCCATTAAGGTCAAAGGGAGTCCACTGCTTTTTTCAACAGATATGGAAACAGGCTCCTGATTTTCATCTTACTATTAACATTAACACTAGAGAGCTACTTGCCACCACACAGCTTCCTAGTAGGTACCCATTTTCAATTCTCGATTTGAAGATCTAGAGGTGCCCCAGATCATGTCCCAGGTGTATTCTCAAAAACATTTTCCCCTTCTTTCCAGACTCTGCTGGTGTACTCCTAGTTGCATTCCTATTTGCTTCCCTTTTACACCATGGCTTTGAGCTGTCTATCTGCAGTCTTGTATTTAGAGCAATATGTCTGCAGAGATGACTTGCAGACATCCCATTCCGTCCCTGGTCTTTTCTGTCCATTCAGAATAGGCCCTTTCACTCTTTCCTCCAATCTCTCTCTTGATAACCCACTGACAAACCTGTCACCTAAAACCAAATTCACACTTGGAAAAAAACCCCAACCAAATCTCAAAACCCTGTTCTTGCTTAAAATGGGCAACTATAGTATTTTCCAGATTCATAAGTCAACAGAGAGTTGTGTTTGCCAGTTCCTCTCCTCAGTTCCAGAAACATCATTGCTAAATTAGGTGAAGTTAACCAAAAAAAGAGATATGGTCTTCTACCACTGCATTCATAAAAGATCTGAACCAATCAATGGAAACATGCATGATGATACTATGTATGTATAGTAGGCATACCCAGCCTGTGTTTATTTTTATCAAATGTGTAGCTTACCTTTCTGCCCATGACGACTGCTAAATTTATCACCAATTTCTGGACGTCTAGTTTGCCTCAACAACATTTTTATCAAGAAAGCATCCTCTGCATTTGATGAAATCATTACTTTTTCAATATAAGAATCAGTCGCACCTTTGTAGCTAGTACAAGAAGACAAAACATGAGTTTTACATCTATGAACCAAACATAAGTTACAAACAAGTATCTGTGTATTGGTAAGCTTCTGGCCAAACTATAGTCTTCACGGAACTTATATATGGGAGGCCAATGGAGCAAAGATTATATATATAAAAAGTTCCAAAGTACGGTATGTTTCTGGAAAAGAAAAGGCTTAAGAGATACAATAGGAAAAAAAGGGAGAATTAAGCTGAACTTTTAAAGAACAAGGTGTATTTTTTGTCACGTGGGCTCTTCTTCATGGAAAAAAGCTTCCTAGTATAGTGCAAATTTCTGGATCTTCAGTTAAACAAACAAAAGCCAAATAGAGAGTTATAGTTGAAGAAGGGAGTTTAAGGCATATACCATGAGTACTTAAGAACAAAATTAAGGCATAATATCCCGACTGAAACTATGCATCAGGTGCAGGTGTGGAAATGAACCAAGGGCAGAACATAGTATGAGGCACATACAGAGATGAACTCTAGAGTCCAAGATGCAGGGATTATGGAAGGAGAGGAAAAAGATAGGCATGACAGAGCAGGAAGGAAATTATTCTGGTATCAGCTTTTTCATATGTATTGCAGAATAAGGGTAGAGGAGATTTTAATACCTTATGTAGGAGCTGAGATGGTCAAACTATGACACCTAAACTGGGAGCACTGGATCCATGCCTCTATCTGGCAGAATTACTTCTTTGCTCTTGATAATTACACTGTTGCCTCACTTCTCTATTAATATCTTGCAGGAGTAAACCTAGAGCTTTCTATTGGTTATGAAACACACAGAAGTGCAGCAAAGCTAATTCTGCCTTTCTGATCTGGGTACCAATTGCTTGCCTTGCTCTCTAATTTACCAAACTGTCAAGGCTATTCCTGACAAAACAGTGAAAAACCCTTTATTCTTTCTTTCCCTCTTTCTTTATTTTTACATTTAATGCAAAATTTTCACCTCACACGTCAGAAGCCCTCTCCTGTTCTTTCAGGACAAGGACAAGAGTTCAGAAAAACTCTTACTGACTGTCCTTTCCCATTCACTGGTGCCTTGGTAAAGGACGTCTAACTAGAGTGGCCAGAATGAGCTGACTGTCAGCCTCTGAGACAGGAAGGTCTCCATCTCCTGGCCTTCTGCCTGGCAAAGTGAAGACTGAGCACCAGTCAGCATTGGCCATTTTCTGTGGGAGCTGGTATGGAGAAGATGTGCCCCCTCACTAAGTACACACATGTTCTCTGCCCTCTCACTCATCCTGCTTTTCTCCTGTTTCTCCATCTCTTCATCCATGAGCGACTCCTCTCCCCTCTACCACTGTCTTAGCTCTCTCCTCAGTTTCTCCTGGGAATCTACTCAGTGATTCCTCTCTATATGTACATCTTCAGGAGGGTTCCTCCCTCTCTTTGCAATTCCAGCCTTTCAGAATCTAGGTGTCAGAATCTAACTTATTAGTGATTAACTGGCTAGGCACTTGTGAAAATAAGCTAGGCTCTGAAAAATCCTGTGAAAAATCAAGACCTAGGGAACTAGGTCTATTTTGCAGAGGGAAGTTTATTCCTTTGACTTTTCTAGAATTGAATATTTTCTCAGATACCTTTCCTCCATGTACCTTCCCCAACTATAAAGTTATGATGCAACATACGTTACTGGCACATCTTTGTACTGTGGCTGCTGAGGCACACTACTTCCTTCCAGAGGTGTCTGGGTCACAGTTGGCATAGATTTGTTCACAAGGACTTGCTTATTTTCTACTTTTTCACCTACAAAGAACAAGAAAAAAAAGCACCATGAAAACTTATCTGGCTACCTATGTTAGAAATACATTTTAAGCTTTAAAAAAAGGTAATCTGGAAGACAAACCAGAAGGAACATGTCCAGGAAGCATGCCATGTTATTTTATTAAATATTGCATGGTAAGGGAATCATTAAACTGGCTTTTTTTTGGTAAACCAAAACAGAACAGCTTGCATGCTGGGTGCACTATGGGAATAGCTGTTCAACATACTCTGGGTCTAAAGAATACACAAAAGTATCTGAAGTCATCTGCTGTAAGTATGGAGAAAATTAACAAGCAACACTGTAACTGACAAATTTTAGAAATGCACACCTAAATTCGGGACATCGCATTATTCCCACAATGATTTGTGCAAGACTACTTTCAGCCTCTCTTTGCAATTACTTTTTCCTATTGCTTCTGGTCTCACACATCAGCTATTTTCCCCCCCATTTCCTTATCCTGCTCTTCACACAGAAAACCAGATCAGTAGCATGCCCAATGATACTAGTGCACATCAAGTACCTGCCTCCCACCTCCTCCACAAAATTACACTGAACTTCACCCTATGTCTCTTCTGTCCACATGAACTATTTCAGAGAGTATTTACCTACACGCTGAGAACAGCCCTCATCTCTCAGATAGGATAGTGCTATCTATCCTAATACTTCAGAAGATTCTTGCCCTTTTTTTTTAATTAACTTTGAAAGCTCCATTGTGATGTGTTAAAGAGCAAAAGTGACCCAACTGTGTTGCTCTAATGGAATTAAGTTTAGTGCCTTCTACAGCACCTTTCTTATTAGATCTCAGCAGATCTATTAAGCTGTTTCCTAACTGAAGGATGACAGTATGGAAGGATTCTTTCTCAAACTTATTTCCATTGGAAAGTTACACACCTGTCCTCATAACTAAATGTAGTTGTGTTTAGCTTCTTATGGCCCTCCAAACATATTTCTAAAGTGTTAAAAACACAAGGTTTTACTTCCTCAAAAAACTGCATTAACTGACAGCATGCTAGGAGGTTTTGACACAAAATCAAAATAGTAAGGAATCTATCCTTAAAAAACAACAACGACAGAACATATGAGACACAAACAGTAAAAAAATTAAGTATTAAAAGTTTGCCAGTTTGGGGATGTAAGAATACAAGTTCTAATACTTCAATAGATACACACTGTTAAAGACTCACTCTTCTACTTAAATATAAAGCTTCCTTTTCTCATGCACAAAAAAATCCTCAACGACTGGTACCACACTGCTTTCAGAAACTAACATTTTTAAATTTTCCATACAATACTATCACCTTCAAGGAAAAAAACATGATTACACTAAGTATAAAACAAGGTGCACAAGAAATATTAACAGAACATTAATTTCTACCTCAGATTATGAGCATTCCATGACTGAACACGTAGTTTGACATACCTGGAGAGCAGATACCATCAGCATCTAAAATTTCATGGCGCCAGATTGGTTTACGGGTAGCTGCATCCAACATCGGACCCATAACTTTATCAAATGTCTGGTTTGTGTAACGCTTCAGTGTACACTTGGCGTTCTTGTATACAAGACACCTTCCAAAACCTAAAATGTAACACAAACTCATCTTCCTAGGCATTCAAAGATTCTTTATAACACATTATCAGAACAAAACAAGAATGCTGATCCACCTCCTGAGCTACATTTTATTAGTTACATTATTCATTATCTTGAATATGCATAACATTGTACATGGATACCTAGTAACTCACAATTTATAAAATCAGATCATGCATGCTACTTTTTTTAGACATTGGACAACGGTCCAATTCTGAAGTTGTGCTAATCTCCTTCTATACCTCTGCACACACGCACACGCATCATTTCTCTTACCTTTGGCGGTCCACAGGGAGATACAACATAGGAGAAGAGACTGTAACAGGATGAGCACAGCACCTCTTCCTTTCGGAAGTTCTAAGAAACCTGAACTTTTACTCATGTTTGTGGTTGACACAAGCTAGCCTACCAGGAAAGTACTGACTGTTTCATATAATCACCCCATTACTCACTTTTTTCCCAGCTGAAAGAATTCTGAATTGCATATATTATTATAAAACAGGTTTGGTTTGGGTTTTAGATGAGAAAAGTAGCCTCTCCAGAATTTCTCTCCAAGCACAGCAACTAGCCACAATACTAAACTCTTTTGTCACATTAGAATTAGAGACAGCCAAGAGCAAGGCTTTCTAATAATCCTACGTTATTTTAGTTCATTTGAAAGATGGTTGCAGCCACATACAGTACATCTATATCTTTAGATTATGTCAAGTAAGTCCTGACAAGCACCACAGCTCTCCCGGTAAATGTTACCAGTCTACCAGAAAAGAAAACATTCAGTTTTAAATCATGCCTGTTGTTGTTTTAGAAAAGGAGGCATAAATTAAATGCGGCAGACATTAATGCCAAAGATACATGTCTAGGAATACTATTATTGCTGCCTAGCAACTAGGAGGAAGGGAGTGGGGGGGGGGCGGGAATAAAGGGATGGAAGAATCTGATTTTGGCCACCCGAAACTAAAACCAATTTGATCACACTGCACTATGTCTTCTCTCAAGGGAACTTATTTAGAAAAGAGAAAGAAGAGAGACTAAGTTTTCAGGCAACTCTCCTCCAACCCCCAGCAGCATTAACATAAAGCACTGAAGAATTATGGAGAGAGCGAGACAGGCTAGACTGGCACAAACATAGGTTTCACTTGGTTACATTCTATTTGGTACTTATGTACTTTTCCTTAAAATACACTGCACCGAATTTTTTTTTTTTTTAAGGAGGTCGGTCATTAGTTTATCTCTGAATAAACACTAAATTATTTTGCTTTAGACAATACTATTATTTTCTCTCAGAAAGTAGGCAATACTGCTATTGCTCCCTCAGAGCATCAAAAGTTCACAATGACACAAATTGCCACACGTTCCATTCCTTTCCCAAATACATTCAGAAGTCTAATTTAATCTATTGCTTTTGTTACTGGTGAAAATAATGAGACCCCTCTAACAGTAACAAACAAAGGTTCAGGTAACCATCTCAAAAGCAAGCCCAACGGAACAGATTATCTAATACGTTACGCTTTTTGTAAATTAAATGTTTTCAAAAAGGGACCATTTACACTTTCTTATTTGAGGTCAAAAGTTAGCCATTTTTTCTTATAATATCCATACGCAGAAGTTTATTTACATGTTGGCAACTTCACCACACTATTGGAAGCATGGAATTACCATCACTATTCATGCAGAAAACAAACAAAAGCATTCAAAGCAGTTTTGGAATTCGATTTCTTAATTAGAGATGTACTGTTCATAACTGCAATAACAGTTATTATAGGACAACACCACGACACAGTAAGTTTATTAAAACATTTATTAGAACACACACTAGAGAAGTGGGAAAAAATTGATGGTTCTTACCTCTATCCAAAGAGGCCTTGTTCAAGACAAGAGCATCTTCAATATCATAACCACTGTAGCTCATCACAGCAACTGTGGCATTCTGTCCAGCAGGCAGTTTCTCAAAATCTATCAGTTCAATTGTTTTTGTTTTTACCATTGGCTTTTGCGGATAGGCTAGAAGATACATAAGAGTATCTATCCTGTTTCTTTGATTGTATCCAATAGTACCTGTGTGTAAAAGAAAAACAAAAGTGTGTGAACATTAGTGAGTTTCCTAGGATGTTCTGGCTAAAAAATTACCAAAATGCAAATTAACTAAAACCACAAACTGAGGAATTTCATCTAATAATAGAAACTCTTCAAGAAAAGAAGGGGAAAAAAAAAAAATCTTATAAGACAACGAACCAAAACAATTTCACATTATTATACTTAAATAAAGATGTAAGTGGCTTCTTAATTTAAGCTTCCAGAAAGAATTATTTATTTTTTCTTAAACACAGAAAACCTAAGCATCAAGACAAAAAGAACAACAACAAAAGAAATCAAAGTCAGGTCCTATATAACTGAATGCAAAAAAGATTTCTTTTTAATCATGACACTGAATAAAACTGCAAGTATGAAGTTTGCTTTTATTGTTCTAATAGCCATAGGGGTTTTTTTTGGAAAGCTGAACTTGTGTTCCATAGACCTAATGCAAAATTTCATGAGGATCAATAGAAAGACTCCCATTGAGTTCAAGAGGAACTGTGGATCAAGCTCTGTGTCTTCCACATCATATTTCCTTCCTTTTCTGGGCAATAATTAGTTCAACAGCAGCCTGTGTTAGAATGTCACAAAGCATGAACAAAGCATACAGTTAGCAGCAGCCAAGACTGATTTACTTTCTGAAATTAGAGGCGTCATTGCTAGAAAGACTACAGTAGAAGTTCACTCACAATATATTTGTCTTTTTACATGAAATTAATTTTAAATTTACGGTTCAGAATTCAATCCTTTGTATAGACCTCCCAGCTTGAGACTGAAATTTTTGGCCCTGTCCCATCAGACTGCCAAAGTGTCTTCTGAAATCTGAGGAAAAAATAATTAACACCCAGCAGGGAAACATAAACCGTTGTGTAGCAGAACAAAAGTTAAGGCAATCGTATGTTATTAGAGTTTGCTGCACCAGGACTATGCTATGTCTCTAAGCAATTAAGAAATTATAGTCTGAAAAGTTAAAGTTTTAAGTGCTAAATATTCTGCAGTACTTGTGCTTAGGAGGTAAGTCTTTCAAAAACTTTCCATTTTCTCCTGCAATTTCAGAGTCTAGCTGCTTTCAAGGAAAGGTTAAAATAGCCAGTGTATAATGAAGACTTCACACAGCTAGAATATAGTACAGCTAACACAAATCTGCCCTTAGAGGAGGCCAACTTCACGTTTTAGATGCATCTACTTGCAATTTCCAAATGCCTGCATTTAAATAAAATGTCTAGAAAATCAAATATCTAAAACCAGGCAGCATCATGGGCATTTCCAAAGACCTATCCTGTCCTTGGCACTAAGCTCTCTCTCCTAAACCACCACAGGTCTACCCTTCCCAAGGACAAGAACAGGGAGATAGTTCAACAGATACTATCTGAAAATAACAGTTATAGCCGGCTCTTACATGCCTGGACTTTCCTTGGTTCTAGAAAGTGGATTTGAAGCAAAGGGCACAGCATTTTCAAACATTGAGGAGGATTTGGTAGAGTTAACAGGCTTTACTTGTCTCTTGCTTTTGAACAGTTGCTTTTCTGTCTGTTTCTTGGAGAAGGGAATTAATCATCCCTGAGCACTATCTTCTGTCTCCAGTAAGTAGCAAGCTGGTAGGGCGTGGATTCATCAACACTGAAGACCTTCCTCATCACCGCCCGTAAGGCCAAGCATCTGAAGGCCCTGTTACTTCTGATATTTTCTTAGCCTAAGTATTAGGCTTCCAAATAAAAAACTTAAAGAGTTTTAGACCATTTTTTCCCTCTGCACCTAGAATGAATAATCTGTGTGTTTTCAGGATAGGTTGTCTGCTGTAGAGCTCATCTTTAACGTTTCATGGATAAGTGCATTTTCCTGTCGTTGAGAGAAATCTTCTCCTGAGTAAGCCACACCAACTTTCACTTTTGAAATGCCTGCAATTTTCTTCTCCTCCGAGATGCTTATATGCTGTACCTGCTATGGTTCACTGGTTGGGGATGCTAAAATGGGATGAAGTCTGGAGCACCTGATCATAGCTAAACTTGTCCTTTATAGCCCAGTAACAATCTGTTTAGGTCCCCTATGTATCAAGGATTACAGATGACACTTTTACTTATTTCAGGTAATGCAAATTATTTCTCTCTCAGATGCTTCACATATTTCAAAGTTGGCATTTTTATCAGAGGTTCAGATGAGCCTAACGGAACTGTTACTGTTTGTATCAGACCAGGAGCCATCAGCAACTGACATTACTGAGATTTTGAGCCTCCATAATAAACTGTATTCAGGCAATTCTTCAGGAATGGTGAAGAATATGATACAGCTTGAATACTGTATCATATCAAGTGGAAAACATATACAGATATATCAACAATGGATATCCTAGCAGGCAAGAAACTGGTTAGAGAACGATTCAAGAGCACAAGTGAAATAAATTAGCCAAAAAGCATATCATATATCAGCAATATTTGCCCTAATTGCTACGATTTAATGGTTATACAAATAATGCCTTCTTTAGACTGGTCTAACAAACCACAGCCTTAAACCACAATCTGCTTATTAAAATTAAGAAGCAGCTCTCTTCTTCTGAGGACTGGTGTGTTGGGATGAGACCTCTGTGTGGGCGTTGAAATGAAGGAAGTCACTAGCTTTATTTCTGTTTTCTCTCTGAAAGAACAGAGCCCTTGTTTGCTTCAGCCAAACAGCCAAGCAAAAGTAAAGTATAATTAAAGTTCACCATAACAAACCCTGCTCACAATGACCCACATTTATAATTATCCCAACAGCAAGAACCAATTTTTTTCATTGGTAATTAGCCCTGTTTAAAGCAAAACACACAAGGTTGACCTGGATACAACAAAGATCATTTTCTTGTTTTTCTCAGTGCACGTGTGCATTTTTTCCTTTTTTCCATTTCCTGACAAGTTCTTTTTTCTTTTAAAGTATCATTTGATCATTCTTCAGTGTGAAGTAATCACTATAAAAATGCTATCTATTGATATTTAGCATAAATGGGATATTGTTATTCTGATCCAGAAAGTTTTGAGAACTCACCAGAACAAACAGCCAGCTAAATGAAGTGTTTATCCAATTCTCTGGTATATTACTTACAGTAACATTAAACTGTACAATCAAAATTAATCTACTGAAGATATGAGCCAAAAGCTATTATTGCACATGCCAAGAAAAGAATTGCTGTACTTCTGTATTTCTCCTGATATCACCATGGATTTTCTACTATTCTGTCCTTTCATATGAGCACAAACCAACAGAGAAGGCAGTACAGTTTTTAAACACTGCACTGAACCTTGTGGAGGGGGCTCCAACTCAGCTCAGAGAGATTGCCACAGTACATGTATTAAGTGATCTGGATGTTCAGCATTTGAAATATTCTTTTCCCTGTAGAAAGATTAAGAAGTCAGTTAAAAGATACTGGTAAACTGGGGGAAGCAGTCTGGCTCATTTCTGCCTCAGCACTTCTGTGCCTGCTACCAGGGAGAGAAGGGCTGGCTAAAAGAGACCGTGTCACAGAGCATAAACGCTGCTCCGCCAAGAGCAGTGGCAGAACTGAGCCCAGGCCACAAAGCACCCAGGTCCAGCTGTGATGACCAGCAATAGCCGCTTTTGCTTTGACGTTTGTTTTGATTCCCTGCCAATAGGCTAGCCATACAAAATTTGGGAGCACTTTTAGCTCTCAGCCCACCAACAAGCCTTTCACAACTGTCAAAAACCAACAACCCCCAGCATTTGGTTCCTTGAAGCACATTTGTCTTTTCAACTCAATTTTAACACATTCAACTGGTTATAGCACAAGGCAAAGCAGTATATAAAGGGCTTTGCTACTTCACAGAAACAAAGCAGAACGTCCGTGATACAGTAAGAGGGTTTTTTTTGTAATATCAAAGAAGTTGCTTCAACGTAAACCTCTGCAACAAAACTCTCACCCACCTACCACCCGCCCCTCAAATACTTTCTGCTCTTTCACAGGTTAAAGTAATAATTAACACCCAAACCCTCCTTTCCTTACTTCAAGACTTGCATTATGACATTTGGGTTGAAACTGCATTGCACAGTTGGGCTGTGAGAGCGTACAGCTTGCTTTGTGTACCCACACTGCCACTTTCACAGATGCGCATGTACACGTGCGATATGGTGGATTACTGGCAGGAAAATTGTATGTTTTCATTTCTTACATTAGGCTTTTATACAACACTTCACGGTCAGAGGTACGGTGTGTAAAACTGATTCTCTATGTCTTAATGGAACTGAAAAGCTCCATTTAAAATTATTTCTCTAATTGTAGGAGCCTTTGATCCTCTTAAACGTTAATTTAGCAATACATGGAATGCAAACAGTGCAGACTCTTGTATTTTAATCTTAAATACTTCTCAGATTTTAAGCTACAACTGTTAACTTTGCACTGAAACGTCAACGTTCAACTGAGGTCCTTGTAGCTGCTGTTGTATTTGCCATCTAATCATAACTTCCCCACAGTGTTACAGTTCAACCTGGAACATATGGTAAATTATCTATGCCAAAACAGAGGGACTTCATTTCAATTTAATTTCACTGAAATCCAGTTTGGTCACTAAGCGCAGCCCTAGTCCTCCAACAAGATGTCTCATTCTGCCCATGAAAGGGACGTATTTTTCAGGACATTTAATGTTATCCTGCAGAAACATTAATATTTTAATACCTAACACTTGTCAGGGATACTGGATTACAGACCCCATTGCAAGCTTTGATGTCCACCCTCCGTTTACTTTTGCTTTCACACCTTTCCCCAGCTTGATATTGCTCAAAAAAGAGCAAAGACTGTCCAAAGCTGCCGGCACAGCCCTGTGACGTGGTCAGAGGGGGTCAGTGTGGAGTAGCACAAGGCTCTCCTTTCCCAGTCTGAGCCCCGGGGCTCCCTCCTTGCCCCCAGGACTTGACAGTGGAGGGAGTGACACAGTGGACTTGGACATGAGACTTTCCACATGGCAATGTTGGACCAGGAGCTGCTCTGCAATTTCAGGATGGGGAAAGAAAGCAAGAAGGGTGGATGGTTAGTTCAACGTGGGGGTTTGAAGCACTACATATCACATCTCTTCATAAATACAAACAGAAAAAAGTATGTGTAATGTTTCAGGAATATCCTCTAGGTCTCATTTGGTCAATACGTGCAGAGAAAAATCTTTTCTGCCCCTACATATTGCCACTTACGGTGGCTTTTTTTTAAGCAGTTATTACAAAAAGCTTCAGGTGTTTGCAGATACTACAGCCAAGGCAAAATATAGCTCAGATCATGTGCCAACTTTTAAAATGTACTTTTATCTAGCTGCTTATTCTTTGAGTCAGGTGTTTTGTCATAACAAACCGAAACAAAGGCTTTTTTTATTGCTCAAGATATTCAATGGCTTTTGTGTTCCTAGCGTCAGCAGGAACGTCAGAGGATTGTATCCAAGGAGCTAAATGTGCAAGACCTAGGGTCAAAGCAGCTGAATACACCAACCTCAGAAAACACAGACAATGAATTGCAAATGACACTCAAAACAAAACGAGAAAAAAACCTTCACACAGAAAACTACAAAAGAACTCCACAGATACTGAATTGGCTTTCTGTACACACTGATCCTGCTTAACTGTGTGTGGTAACTAACCAAACCTTCTGAGACTAATAGTCATAAAATAGAGACTCAGGGGTGGGGGAAGGATAATGGGATGGGGGAGAACTGTAAGGAAAAGATTGCATCGCTCCTTTTTTTTTTTTTTTTTAATTTAAAGGGAGGACATGCATCTGTTGCTATTTTCTGCTGTTTTGGTGCACTGAACATGACAGTTCAGCACAAGGCAGTTACTTTGCTATCAATTCTGCTGGAGAAGTCTCACAAAAGGTGCAGTGTTTCAGTTTTGAACACACAGCACAAAACAAATGGTTTAGTAAACCTAACAGAAGTGGTAGTTTTTTATGACGCAGAGTTGTTCTACTGTAGCTCTCAACTTGCAAGCAAGCCATCGATACAAGACATAAAACTGGCACATACAGCACAAGTCTGAATACAGCTGTCTGAATTGATGTACTACTGGGCAGGTTCTTCTTGGGACTCACTCTGGCTTTATCACAGGCCATATGACTTGGATGCTTTAATGCTAGTTTAGCTGTGTATTAAAAGAAGGATTAGAACTTACCTAGTGTCAATTACCCACAACAGCAAATTTACAAAATGGTTGTTTTTTAATGACCACCTATCGCATTTGTAAAAAGAATCATTAAGTGCTCAGGAAATTAATTTTATTTCAGTCATTTTGCTGAGAGGCCATTACTTGCCTTCTTCATCCAAAACAGAAAAAGCCCAAAATCTAAACTATGGCTGTGGGAAGTGTTCAAGTAACTAAGCACTCTGTTTCACATTTTGATTCCTCTTATTCTCTAATGTCAATGTAACTATTTATTTATTTATTTTCAGGACACCTACTCAACTATTCAGGGAAATTCTCCTCCCTGTGCTCTGTGTCTCTTTGTGAGAACTCTTTCTAACTCTTTTTGTCTGGAAAGCCACAGCACATCATAGCATAAAGAAAAAAAAAAACCCCAACACTGCCAATCCTGCAGCTACACTGGAAACCTGAAAGTCATGACAATTATCAAAAAAAACCAATAAAAAAGCAATAGTGCCCCAGTTTCTCCAATTTTTCTTTTAAGTATTAAGACCTGCAGATATGGTCTCCATTAAGTGAAACTGACTGGTATTTTTTTCCTTTTAATTTTTCCAACTTGCAGAGGTAAATTCTTTCTTCCTCAAAGCTAAAGAAGTGCTCATTTCCTCTTCCTAGCAAAGCTTTTACGTGAACTAGGAAAGAAAGAATTTCTCTGTTTTGTCACTTCTCTACATAGCTTCAAAAACTACGTAACACTCCAAAAAGGAATAAAAAAAGTCTTACCCATTGCTTGTTTCCCCATGGCACACTGGTAAGTGTTTCTTGGGGACTGGTTGTGGTGAGGATATGGAATCAGCCCAGCACAGACACCAAGAAGCGTGAAAGGCTCAATCTCCAAATGCGTTGTATCTCTTAAAAGAAAGAATACCAATTATAACAGCCTTGTGAACAAACTTCTTAACTAGCATTTATTTAGATTAGTAGTATCTCATAATACTTCAATTCAATTCTGTTCAGAAAAATGTAAGTCAGTAGGACCTCAAAATATGGATTCACTATGGGATTTTTATTTTGTATTTTAAAAAAAAAGCCACACAACTTTCTTTTGGCTTTAAGTGTTTCCACATGAAAAGAAATGAAGGAGAAATAAATGAGGGTTTATGAATTTCCATCATGGAGAAAAAGCCTCCAGATAACAACAAGCGGAAGAAGCTCAGCAAGACAATAAAACATCAGTTTATGTAGTAAGATTCAAAATGCCTTAAGGAATGTCTTCTCATGTAGAGAGAGTCTTCCACATCAAATTACCAATGTCAGAGATCTAGAAATCCACTGGGTAGGTGGAGGAAGGAAGAGCAAGACAGATTCAGGTATTGAAAAAAATAAAAGCATAATTTTAGTTTTCCAAGGTCAGTTATATAGTATCAGATAGAGGGAAAACATCTGTGTCCAAACCAGATCCAGTGCCATGGATGATACGGCATAATGAAACACTATTCGAAAAGCTCTGCAAATATGTTGAAAGTGATTATGTTGTTAAAAGGCAATACTGATGAGAAGTAAAAAGACAAGGACAATGAGTAAAGATTGAGAGATAACAAAATTTGTTCTACCTGGCATGAGCTTCAGAGGAGAAAGCCCATGCTCAATAAAGATAATTAAATCATAGTGTGCATTGGGATGCAAGTAGAGTGACTAATAACTAAGGATGGAGTGTACAATAAAGCTTGGCTGGACCAGAGCTGCTTTTAAAAATCAAGATAAGTAACTAGGAAATGGGGAATTTTGAAATAAAGATAATTATAACTAAACCTATCCAGAGCATATCTTTCATAATGTTCTGAAGTTATTACACAGGGCCTGGGTTTAGGCACACATTGCTTCTCCCACACACAACTAAACCCACTGCATTCTGAAAATCCCATCTTTAATGTTTGACTTCTCTTGGAAGTCTTTTGGAAGACTTTTTTTAATTAGTTAAGCAAATTAATGTGATTACTAAACTTTAAGACCTTGCAAAGGAAATGACTGGAAAAATCTTTATTATGACAACACTCAAAAGGCAGCAAAGCCTCACAAGCTCAAAAAGGCTGAACAATTACCCACAAGTACATACAGACTGAAGACAAGGACCAGCAGCAACTTACATAAACAATGTATGTACTACTGGAAAAAATGAAATCTGAAAAAAATCTGGAAACCCTGAGAAGCAAGCCTAATGAAATTATCTATCAGTCCCAGAAATCTTTATAAATCACAAATATGCCTGAGCAACCTAAAAATTACCTGCTGGCCAGAGGAGGATAGCCACTATTTTTCTCCACTTGATAAAAAGCAGCTATGTTAATTGAAGCCTGTCCTAAGAAAATACAAATAGTAGAATCCCAATTGCAGTCAAGTAAATACAAAATAGTCTCAAGACCCAGTAGCAAACTTAAAGCACAGACTGCTCCCCCATTCTGTAGAACTTCACAGAACTGCTGATCCTTCTCAAACAATAAAACAAGAGACTTAAGACTTACTGATAGTGAAGTTAGCGAATTTCTTCAGAAGGTACTAGTGCATGGAACTACATATACATTTTCAGATAGGGTATTTAACAAAAGTATTTTTCCATTGAGGTCAATCCTATTTCAACCAAAGAAGATGCAACATATGTGGATCCTAGTATCTCATGAAGTATTCCACAGTGCTAATGAGAGACCTTCAGACTTTACAGACCAGTTCAATTTCTGCAAGTCAAAATGCCGCTGGCAGAAATGGGCCCAAGAAAGGAAGGGAACCTCTTGAGTTTGAAAATCAGAGTTACAAATGGGTAAGGAAGAAATTGAACGCATTAAATAGAGTCAAATCCTCCAAAGAAAAAAACCCTAATTGGATTGGAAAGGTAAAGAGAGAATACTGTAGCTAAAAGAAGCCTACATTACAAAAGCAGGAATGTTAATGGGATGCTTCACAATAGTGGATTGTATCAGTTGTATTACCAGAACAAGTTGTACCAACATGGTCGCACCATTTAAAATGCAAGTTGATCAGCTGGGGGAAGGGGGTACACAATTCAGGACGTCGGGAGTATCATTACTAAACACAAGGAGCAATGTGCTCACACAGTGCAAGCTCAGATACCTACGGCACTATTAGCTACAAGTATTGAAGCTAAACTCAAAACAAGTTGATGGACAACACAAAAATCTCCCAAACTTTTTGGTGGTTATTGTGGAGTCATTTCCTCACTCTTGTCCATTGGAAGTGCACTGTCTCCTCCAATTTTTGACTAAACAGTGATATCACATGATATGCCCCCATTCATCTTCCTAGCTGAGTCAGGTGTCCTGAAACTCAAACTTTTCAGCTCTGGTGCTTTGTAGAAGTTATTTAATTTTGGCTCAAATGACAGCAATTGTGTGTGCTCGTCTTTGCTCATGTATACAGAAGCCAGCCAACAGCATGCGAGAGTAATTTCTTAAAGTGATAAAGTCTTCAAAAGCCTGGGCAGGAGCAATACAATTTAATTAGCAGAGTTAATGCATTTCGTCTGGCAAAGGTTAAAGATAACTGAAGGTCTCATCCAGCTCCACTGAAATCAATGATTTATTTCTATTGGCTTCCACGAGTACCTCACCAGGACAGAACATTTAGAAAATGCATTTTCTGCATAAATCTACTGATCAAACATTTCATGGAGGTAACCTCTAACATCTTAAATGAAGTCTTCAGTTGACAGGATATTGTCAGAGAAACATTAAAAAAAGGTAAAAAGATAGGAGGACTTAAAAATTTAAAAGAATCCTTCCTTAATGTGGGCTCTTCAATCATAGTCACAAGAGAAAGGGAAAAAAACAAAGCAGCAGGTCCTTCCTATATGTAGAAAACACAACAAATCTGGAAATCTTTCTAAATGAAAATCACATACCAGGAATGGCTTTAACATATGTGGTAAAGAATAAACAGAATGATACAGACATTTTTATCAGGGCCTATCAGGCATTCAATGCAAGCTGGCTGTCTAGAGTCCCTCTACAGCCATAAGAGAGAGATATTTTTCCAAATGACAATCATGGCATGCTAAGATCATCATTTAATGTGTGGAACCATTTGCCTTCTGGATTCCTATTGTATAAAATTACTTACAATGAGCAGCCCAATGATTAGAACAAAAAAAAGCCACATCCAGAGAAACAAAGGATATACCTTTAAATATGTCAAATTTTTGAGGGCTAGAAGCAGGAACAGATCTCCCAAAACCCAAAAGCTAAACCATTTTTTTAACTATCCCATAGATAATTTAGGATGTATGTAAACAGATTTCTTTCTTTAGCTTTCATCTGGAGTTGTTTCAACCATTAGCAAAGGAGCAGTGTGTATGTGTGAAAACAGTAACGTTATTAATATGCTTGCATTTCAGAGAGTCACCCACTGTACCAGTGTTTAGTCTGAATGCATACTTACTTATTAATTGTGTGTTCATATAGTGCAATGTTACAGTCATTTTCTTCATTCACATCCAAATACTCAACAAGGCCTTCATGCAAGAAGTCTTCAAAATTCCTGCAGTTAAGTTAAAAAAATTACACTAGAAGTACTGTCTTTTCTTATATTTCTGCAAAAATAAAACTACATAATACCTATATTGAAGGAATGTAATGTGTAGAAGTTAAGCTAGAGAAATACTTTTACATGAAAAGTTCTGTGTATTTTACGTGTTTAAAGAAAACTGTATTTTTTTAAATTAATCCCCTTGCCCATTCACTGCTTCACACAATCTGACTGACCAATGTTACTTATTTGAACAACTAAATAAAATCTTCCTGTATGTACTCATCATCCCTAAAAATGTAGGCAAATATAAGGGTCATCTAGTAAGTTTTTGTGATGGTTTTGCAAAATTTAGTTAAAGCTAAATTTAAATGCTTTTAAATGCTTTTGTGTGTGTTTTTTTAAACACCCAACCTAAGAATTTGCAAGGAGTTTCAAAACTAATTCTGAGTGTGCCTAGTTTAGGGCAGTAAAGTTGATATTCCTTTGAAGTGTTTGATTTTTTGATCAGGAGAAGGATGATACTGCCTCAGGCCTTCCATTTGCAGAGAGATGAGGCTGTGAGATGTATTTATTCTGTGTAACCATCAAATTTCATAGCAGTAACAAATTAAGACCACCAGACTTAATTTGGCTTTAAACAGAAAACGTCCAATACACCGATTATTAATTCATACAGGAGAGTAGACTTCTCCTCTACATAGCTAACCCCAAGATTGTGAAATACTGACTGACTGAAGTACTTCCACACAGTATTTACTTAGTGAGGATGAATATGGTCCACTTGAATTGTGTACCTGTATCCCTGAGCCAGTTCTTCCATATGCTTGTTTGTAACTGCAGGTTTTTGCTTCTTGACAATTATGTAGGGTCTACAATTTAAAAAAAAAAAAAAAAAAAAAGATTACCATAGCAAATGCTTAGGTAGGTAACTTAATTTATGCTTACAATAAGAACCCTGTCTATGCACAATCTATTTTATAAACCACTTTTAAAATTTGTCCACCTTTAACTGATACAGCCACATAAATATAATCAGTAATTATTCAGACCTTGGTGTGATAACACAGATATCCTGAACTGACATATTGTCTATGAAGTACCCAGAAAGTGTACAAGAAAAATTAAGATTTCAATTTTGAGGAGAAAGCCTTCCCCTCATGCCCCCCAAATCTTTAAACTAACAATTTATAAGTTTTACCTACACATTTTGTTGATGGCTTTAAAAGATTTAAGCTTTCCCAAACTACAAAGCTAAGGACAGCATTAAGTTCTATGCATATTGCAGGGACTTCGTACAACACTGAGTGAACAGTTTGTGCTCAGGTGTCCACATGCAAGAATGTATTTTACTGCTACTTACATGGTGTAAAGTACAGGCATTTACTATGGGTGACCTCAGATGAATCCATAAATTTCAACAGCACATGGATCTCTGAAGGCTTCCTTACCCCAAGAAAACACTGACACAAAGGATGGCATGCAAGAATGAAACGTCAAGGGCTGTTGCTATTTGGACAAGTTGCTCTTATAAAGAGCAGCAAATAGCTACAAGATACTTGTGGGGTCCACTCTGAAGTCCAAATAACTGTTTGAAGACTAATGAGCACTTTTAAATGGTTAATAGAGGTATCTAACAATTGCAGGGTGGGGGGTGCCACAAAGCAAACTTGGTAAACTCCTGGAAATCCACGATTTCACTTGTCTTCATTTTACAAATCGGAAGTCTTGCTGCATCTCCAAACTTGCAGAATGGCTGATACTAGCCCTGACTGCAAAAGTGATTTCTCTGCCACTGGATATGCCCCTACCCTGGATCTCTTGACCAGATATGATTAACTGATGGTTTGTACATGTACTATTTTGGAGCCTCTAGCACACCTCATACTGCATTCCACATGCTCTGAGATTCAATTAATGAATCAGGTGGAATGCCAACTGTAGTTATGACTGCTGCTTCTTTAAATTACACACAAAATACACACACAGCTAGTCAATGCTAAAAAATGCATATATTTATTAACTCATTCTGCCTCTCCCTATCTCTGCTTTGTTCATCCTTTATACCTTGTTCTTTAGCCTAATCACTTGGGCCTAGAGATGTTTTACTTGTAAATAACCTAGCACAGTGCTGCCATAATCTGACCGGAGTCTCTAGCCTCTACTATAAATCAACCTGATTTTCTGTCTCTAAATACTGTTATGTTCCACCCATTCTCATTTTAGCCACCCAATTCCTTTTTGCTTTCCTTTGTGATATAACTGTTATTCAGGCACTCTTTCTGTCTAACAAAGAGCATAAGCACCTGAAGGTGGAGACCTACCTTATATATTTCTTGAATTCCCTACCTACTTAAGGGTAAGCAATGAAATAAACCAAAATTGTGAGACATACTTTTTGGTATCATAGTAAACAGGTATACATGCCTGAGGAAGTTTTGCACCAGAAATAAAGGCCCTTGAAGACAAAATGTAGCTTCTTATTCTAAAATGTGATATCACACCCATGGGATATCAGGTGAGTGTCTGCTGCTTTCTCGCTTCACAGGAAGTAAAACACTCCTCCAAGGACATTGGACATTGCTAGAGTTGCCAATCGGTTTGATTTTGATCTGTCTGTTCTGAATGAGGGCTATTTAAGGAGAAAAGAGATGCTCAGGTCCTACTGAATTTGCTTAAATCTGTACTTATTAAAGTCTTAGCCCAGTGTACTTACAGTGCATAAAACAGTGTTTATACTAAGTTCACTAGTGAGATAATTCTAATGAGATGTTTACCTGCACAATCTCCCTCCATCAGAGGAAATGTAGACACATCTGTCAGAAAGATTTGTAGAGATGGAAACAAATTCATTGATATAACCCGCTCGACGCATTATCCGAAATGTGTTCACTAATTTCTGATGATCACGTATGACACCAAGGATGTTACCTATTCAGAAAGAGTTCAGAAAGTGCATTCTTGCATTTTCACTTCAGAAAGTGCATTCTTTGCATATCCAAAACTCGACTTACAAATTCTGATCATGTCTAGTATGCACAGAAATACTTCCTACTCTTGCAAATAATAAGAGTTGTCATAAAATTTCCTTCTTCTGACATGAATAAGAATTGGCTCTTTTTCTCTTAGTAAACAAAAAAACCTGTCAGAATTTTACAGGTCATCTATCTGTTTGCCTCCAAATAGCTTCAGAAACCAAATGGCATGCTTCATCCAGCTTTCTTCAAGTATGTTTCTGCTCAGGTGCCCATTCACCAATTAATGTACAAGCAAAACACATTTCTGAAGCCTGCAATTTCACCTGTACTGAAATGGATCCAAGGTTTCCAAGAACAGACCAAGGAACTGTCCTGCTGCCCTGTCATTAAGTTTATAAAGACCTGATATTTTTGATACATGTGATCCCTCACAACAGCACCCGAATTCCTCCAGGAACTTAGCTCAACAAGCTATTGCTATCTTAGCAGGGCACTTCAGCACATACTGAAGTATTCTGATGCATGATGAACAAACAAGAGAGTAAAATTCATTTAAAGAGTCACCTGACCAAAGCCATCTTAATATATAAAATAAAAATAAGTATGGTGTCATTTTAAACAAAACTTTAAAGGATGAGACAAAGCATGATAGTTTAGGGAGTTTATAAGACAATACAAAGGTCTTCCTAGCTTAAAGGATTTGTACTTAACAGATTAGCTGCCCTTTTAGGTCACAAGTTTAAATCAGAATCAAGTCAGCCATCCACAAGCCTCAATTTTTTTAATGGATTAAACCCACAAACTAGTAGATCGAACAGTAAATTGTTTTGCCTCACTTAGTACTGGATCATCTACATTTGGGAACATAACTATCTTGTTCCATACCACCGATTGAGCTTGTGAAGGAAGAGTCCAATATTTCTGCTCTGCACTCCCCTTTGGGCCATAAAAAGACAGAAAAAAGAGTGCATGTAGTTTCACTGAACCTTATCTTTAACATACTGCTACAGAAAAGCAGAACAAAGGAATGCAGTTTGGTCAAGTGCTGTTTTTATATTACTGGGAAAAGGCAGGATTGAAGAACAACTGCTGTTTAATTCAAAGGTAAATGGAGAACTATTCATAGTGACAGACATTAAATACTAGTCCCTGGAAGTGGATGGTGTTGACAAAAGGCTATTTTTAAATCACTGCTGTAGTTTTTAAAAGTCAGTATTTTGAAATCTGGTATCATAGTACCTGTTGATTTAGAAACACTAAAAGATCAGTTGTAAAGGAACATAAGCATGTGGATGCAAAGTACATATGCTGAATCATCCCTTTAACAAAGAAAAGAGGCCTGTTTTCCAAAGTCTAATTTTTTCTAATAATTCACAAAGCAAGTTGCCCTTTAAAAGGTAGTTTTAAAGAGAATAGCATTGTTAAACTTTGCAAACAATTGATGTTTGCTTTCTGTTTTTAAATGAACTTGCATGAATATATATATAAAAATACATAAAGATTACTGTAAAATTAAATACTTCATGTGAATGAAGCTCTGAATTTGTAAATGAAAGTTATTACATGTAGCAGCGTTAGTCTCTTAAAAGTACTTTATGAACAGCACCTCATTTGGCGAATGCCTGAAAAGCAAACAAATCTGTAAGAGAATATACATATTTTTGTGCCTATTTATGCAAATGTGCTTAAAAACAGTACTGAAATTTGAAAAAGCTTCAATTTCCCAGCTACACACATCTGCAGTCAGAGTTCTGAGGACACAGCTTCAGACAACTAAGTGCCATCATCTGGCCTGTCTACACTGCCTAACGCTACCGAAATATTTACAGATGAAATTATCTACACGTGGAAAACGGAATCTGTGGTTGACTGTGCTCCAAAAATTGTTGGAAGGTTTCTGAAGCCTAACTTTTCATCAGCAACAAATCAGAGTCAAGACTGCTGAAGAGTTACATACCATTTAGGAAAACAAGGAACACATTTGGGTATGAAAGTTCTTCACCACAGAGCAAGTTGACGTCTTCAACTCCAAGATTACTGGCTAATTTAATAATTGGGCCATCTTCCATATCTGTAGTAATGTGAGTCATGAGGGCAAGGTTTTTAACCAAACCACAAGCCTAAAATAAAAAAATACATCTTTTATCCATTTCATTCCGAAGTATTAATACTATACATACATTTTTCTTCCAAAACCATGCTTATGAACAACAAAGTCAAAGAAATTAAACAAATTAACTACACTGAAAATTAGGAGGGAGAAAGGAAGAATTTTCTATATCACACTGAAATGTAATGTTTTAGCATTTATAAACTAATAAAAAATATAGGCGATGAAGTTGTAGTTCTTAAGTCATCCAACCATGTATAACCCTGTATTTCTCTCTTCAAAGCAATAGCTACTTAGAAACATAATGGAAATATGAAATCAGTCTATCAATTTGCCAGGTATCCTATATGTTCTAACACAAACTTTAACATTTTAAAATGAAAAATATCCAAGTATCTTATACAGTGCAATTTTATTTCAGCTGCTTAATGAGACTCGCTCATATTGACTACATATTTATGCTAGAAAGTTCAGAATTGCCCCAGTACTTTGTATTTAGGAAAAAAAAAGAAAAAAGGAAAACAAAAAAAAGACCATCAGCATCAATCGTTTGGTTGAAATAGCTGGATGATGTGTTTAAAGTAAAACACACAAAGGTGTTTTTCCTCCTCAAGCTAAATGCTAAAGCTGTTTCTGTAATAATAATAATAATAATAATAATAATAATGTATGTTTCTAGAAAAATTGCAGGTTGATGCTGCAACTTCAAAACAGGACATTTATTACAGAACAAAGGGATAAGAGTGTAGGACTCCTCTCTTTCTGCTCTGATCAAAAGAGAGCAAGTAGCTCTGCTGCAAAAATGGGAGGCCTCATGTCATTCTCATGCAGCCAAATGATTTCTGAACAGTTTTCAGCCAGTCCATTCAGGTAGGAGACAAAGGACAATATAATATATGTAAATACAGGCAATATAGGATGTAAATAGCTGGGATGTGAGAAGACACACAAGTTGTGTTATCAGGCTGAGGATAATTTATCTCTCCAGAAACCTCCTCATCAGTATTCTTCCTCTGATGGAGGATCACCTGCTTCAAAATAAACAGTGTCTCCATTCCTCAGGACAAGAAATACTGAAAGCAAAACAGGAGTTCCTCACCTCTCCTTCAGGAGTGTCGGATGGGCAGAGCATGCCCCACTGAGATGGTTGTAGTGACCGAGGACCACTCACTTTCCTTGTCTTTTCAAACTGAGAAGAGATTCTAGTCATCATTCCCAGAGCAGATATGTAAGACAAGCGGGACAATACTTGTGTCACGCCTTGGCGGTCCATTTTGAATCTCTTCAGAGACCAATTTCCCTGTAGAATAAAATAAAAAAAGTTATTGCAGTTTATCCCTGTCTCAACACTACATGTCTTTCTTCAGTATCTAGGCAGGCTATCTGAGGAGCACAGCAAATGTTGCCCACTTATATTAAACAATTACCTATCTGCATATAAACTATTAGTTATAACATACTTGTACTAAGTATTAAAAAAAAAAAGTTTAAACAAAAGAACTGCTCTTTCAAACAAGAGGATACTTTTGCTATTGTATATTCAATCACACAAAGATTCTTCATCATCTGTCCCTCACAGGTAAATCAACACTCAAATTTAGCTAAATTAAATTATTTTCTCTTCTCCCTTTAGAGATTTTTTCGAGTATTTAAAAAAAAAAAAAGGTATGAGTGAAATACACTTTTACAATAGATCTGACAAACTTTCAGTTCTGCCTTTTTCGTGATTTGTTATTTTTGTAGGAAAATTTTGCAGGAAAATTTTGCAGGAAATAAACACTTATGCTGGAGAAGTCTGACATCAAAGCCATCTGTACCTTCTTGAAGCCTTTTGTTTTTAGAATCCAGATGAAGAAGACTCACTGATGTGTCTTCTCACAGAAGAAGAGCATGGGGGGTTAGGTCTATCCAACTTCTTTGGTAGGATTACACCAAATATGAAATGCAAGATCCATGCACATGTCAGAGGTTTCCTGTTTCAGGACTGTCACAGGCAGTATCACTTGTTTTAATTAGGAGACCAGAGGAGTTCTGAGAATGTTCTAGGACACAATTATGTCTCCATGCCAAGCAGATTTAATAATCTCTACTGTAAGATCTTGAAATTTGGTGCTACAGTTTTTGACTTCATGACATCTACTCCAGGTACAGTTCCCAGCACGTGAGTCAGTGGATACAGCAAGTTTCTGTCCCAGTTACTAATATTTACCCCAGCCACCGTGTTACTGGTCAGTCCAAATGCAATGAACATCTCAAAGGTAACGCTTTCCAAGGATTGCCTTCTGCTAATTCCTGTAGCCTTTTGATAAACTCAGCTCACCAATGCTAACAAATAATTTGAAGTTCACTTGCTGTACTATACTGAAATCCTTTTAGAGGGTGATTTGCTTGGCTTCTTTATTTATACATTAACAGCACAATCCCATTTTGTGATGAACAGCAAGAAACCACCACCCATCCGAATGATTCTGATATTTGCTTCCACTGGAAAGACTATATAATAGTCTACAGAACTTCTCCTTTTTCCTTGTTATAGAAAGTGGGAAGACATAACGCCCAACACTAAGTCAGTAAAAAGAAACCTGTCCACTTGGTCAACCTTCTCGGGAAGGGTTCACTCACTAACCATTTCATTCTTTAAGGACTGGGAGTTATCAGAATAAAAGTGGAAGAATATAATAAATGAGTAGTTTTTCCTCATGCTAGAAATGATTGCATCTGCAGTCTAAACTAGCATGTGGTTTCTTCTTCACTGCCCAGAAGACTGTGAAATCTCAAAGACTGGAGGAAAGGGGAGGTAAAAACACTGCCTGAAGATATAATAATATGAAAAATTCTTTGTGCGTTGGAAGTGACAGACTGACTCCTTCACAAGTTGTCCAAAAAACCCAAAATGGGGCCAGGGCTGTTGTGAGACCATCCCCAGTGGAGAATTTCCTACTGAAAGCTCCTGTGAACTGAAAGTTGCTCCCTCAGCAGCATCGGATGATTCTGCAGATGCTGAAATGTCTATTAGGTCTGTGGCATTACTGCCTGACCTACTCTCTCTTCTGGTATTTTCCAGGGTAAAAAGAAGACCTATAGCAAATATCACTGAACAGCACTGTACTGTTGATGCAGTAGTGCTATGAATTCTTTTGCATGCTACTGGTGTAATTATGAATCCACTGAGTTATTTCATGCTCTTTGAGACTATCGTTGAAGCATTCTGGTGAGATTGGAGATTGTCGTTTCCAAGAATGATTTTTATGGTATTTGCTTAATCTCTTGAATAGTATGCACTGGGCATTGTTCCTGAGAAATTATTTTCAATGCTTAAGAGCAGATGGTGTTTAACTGCTTATGTGGCAGTAAAAAAAAGTCCAAAGATAGTGGAAGAAGGAAGACTTTACAATATGTACTGAATAGTTTGCAGATTTATCTCTGTCAGTCCAAATGGAAAAACTGGCACCGGCTAGAAGAAAGCACTAGCATTTAGAGAAACAAATCTGTCAATTGTTTTGGTTACGTGCACTGTAGAGATTTAACTACATTTGGGGCACTCATAAAATTAAATAGTGATAAGCTTTAACACTGGGATTTGTAAGTAACAGACTGTTGGTTGTTTTGGATGCAATTTGTGGAGTTAATTCTGTTTACAAGAACTGAAGAAAAACCTCAGTTTCATGCTAGGCAGAAAAGCCCTCTCAAGAGTTCCAAAGATTAAAAATTAAGTTGCACAATTTTCACCAGCTACTAAAATACTTAGACTAATCTAATTTCTTAAAAAATCATGGATTTCAAAGTCATTTACAAGCTAGTAGCTAGATTTCAGGAATCATCTCACAAATTGCTCTTGCAGATGCGTGAGGTAAGAGACAAAGTTAGTAATTGTATTTTTGTTCTTGTCCACAAATTAAAATATCCATTCTAGCAGAAGGCAGACACAGACTAAAATGTAACCAAGACAAATATTTCAAGGCTTAATTATGGGTGGGCGGGGTTGCGATAATACAGCATGCAGCAGTCTTCCCTGTTAAATAATTCAGTATCATTAGCAGAGAAATACTAATTTCTGTGTTGTGCTGCAAATTTGCTCATACTAGCAACTTCAGATGAATAAAAAGGCACTGCCTGTGAAGAACTCAAAATTCAGCTTTTTTTTTTTTTTTTGGCCTACCTGCCCTCCCCCTGCCCCCTAGTTATCTTCTGCTCATAATGTTTTCCTGCTGCTTTTCAACCACCTTTTGGACGTATGATGTAACCTGACCCTAGCTAAATCCAGGTAATAAAAAATACCATCAACCACACAGTCAAGTAGAACCTAGAAGACAGCAAGTTGGATAAACACAAACATGACCGCTATTTTCAATTTGCTTGTTTCTACCATTCCTTCACAAACACTAAATCATCACTTTGAAATAAATGGTGAAATAAAAGGTGGTTTGATAATCAATGATTCGTCAGTGAATTCCAAAGGCCCTGCCCATGACAAAGTTTTGCAATTTTAATCTATAAAGACTGTTAAATAGATTTGCTTTTACGATCAAAGATAGTAAAGTCATCAGAACAAAATTTATACATTTCCATCATTCACTATGGTGGAAAAACTTTACATACTAGAATGAAAACAAAAATACTTACTGTGGAGATGGCATTGACCATGCCATTGGTGATTTGGTCTTGACGCATGTGCTTCACTACATCAAACTGAGCTGCACGTTGCTTGGGGATTACCTGGTCAGCAATCTTTTTCAGTTCAGAGTTAAATTTTTTGAACAAATCTTCAAATAGAAGAGATAGAAGCTGGAAAAACAAACCAATTGGATTAAGGGAAAAATTATACTTCTCCAGGTCTGGGAAATGGGGCAGGGGGAAAACACACATTTTAATATTTCTACCTTTTATACTTCTTGTCAGTTAAAAAATATTTTCCCTGTTTCTCAAATGATATTTTTCTCACAAGTTTTTTGTCTTGTTAAGGTGCAATATTAGAGAAATTATTTCATAATAGAAAGCAAATTAAGTAGAAGAATGGTCTAAGCCTATGCATTTATCCCTTTTTGGTTTGCTTTAATACTTCCTTCACAATATCTTGGCATACCCATCCATCTCTACGCTATCCATTTACTGTTTTCCCTAATCTACTACATTATAATCCACCTGATCTACTTCTTCCTTCCTAGAGTCACAAACTCTTTTAAAGATTTAATACCCTAAATGTACAACCCTGAATCACACGTAAGAGTCGGAGACAAGACCAGCTTCTATTCTAATACTGGATGGAATAACTGCAGTAAAGCAGTAAGTGAAGAGTCACTTTGAGATATTCTATTATTAAAAGTGAAAAAGGCTGTTTAAAGTGCCCCCTTCCAGGAGCTACTTAAAATGGACAAGACACCCAACTGACTGTAAGGGGCCCTCAGGGGAAGCAACTCAGCAGCACAGAGTTTGGAAGCCGTGCACAGTTTGCAAGACCAGACTAAGCACAAAAGGTGCACAGTTACCATTGCTTCTGGACAAGCAGAACTAGAAAAGACTTTTTTAGGGGCCCAGAAGCAACTTCTGCTCTTGACAGCTGGCAAGATGTATCTCAGGTTACATACGCAGCTTCCTCACTCAGATACGCTTTTATCCTGCTACTTTCTGCCGATCACAGTCTACGGAAAACCAATTACACCCAGAGAGAGTCCACCTGGTTCAACACCTGCCATCCTTATATAGAAGTGCTACTATCTGGGAAGTGCAATGCTCTTCCACATTTCTCCCTTAAAAAAAAAAAAAAAAAAGTCTACAGCTTAAGCAAAGAAGCTATGTAACAGCTGAATTGAAAAAAAATACCAGCAATACTACTCTTCAAAAGTGCTGCAATTTAAGCCAATTATTTTCTGTATATGGATACTAATTACTTCTAGTTCTTAAAATAGCCATACAAGGAAAAGGCTACCAAAGTTTGTGATCTGACTTTTTTTTATTCTCCAACTGCTTTGCTTCTGCAGTTTGCTCAACCTCTCCTTGCAGACACTAATAGCTTCCCAAAACATTTAAATCTGCATTACATGATACATTTTAAGTGTTCACAATGATTAGTTTTGCAAGCAAGCAGTGTAAATTCTAAAGCCTGGCAGTCCTGTCCTGGGAATCTATTTTACAGCAGCTACAAGTGTCAGCAGAACTGAAAATGTGGCAGCTAACCAATGCCAGAAATGGTAGTTCCCAGTGTACAAAGCATTGTAGGGCTGAACAAGCTAGGTATTCAGCCATCACAAGCCAAGACATTCTGGAGTCAGCTGTACAATTTAATTTCTGTATGTGCAGAATTAAGCTGAATTTTAACTGTCTCCAACAGACATAGTCCCAGCTTTTCCTCACCTTCTGGAAACAAGGCAGCAGACCACTCATTTCTCTATCACTGGGATGGGCCACTAGCTTTTATTTGCTTGCTTCTACCTACATGTCCCAGCTGGGCTGACCAAAGCATTTGGCAAATGACAGATGTAAAGCAGTTAACTAAATTATAAGCTACCCTTTTCACTGGCATCACAAATTCATTTAGGAATAAAAAAATAACACCTGGAAACTCAAGACAGACATCTGATTTGCAATAAAATGCTCCCACTGGCCTTCATGGAGAGCAAGACTGGATTATTTTTGACAGTCTACTCTACAAGACATATGGAACACTTAGTGTTCAGTCACCAAATTGTAAAACCAGCGATAACACACACTGTATGCTAACCCTTGACAAAAATGGAATCCTATTTCCACTCTGGACATAAGAGTTTTCGCTGAAAACTGCTTAAGTGGTTTCTTTTTTTTTAGACCTGGCTTTGGCATGAAAGGAAGGTGTTGTAGACCCTCTTTCCTTTCCTGATCCTTGCAGTACCATTAACATTTACAAGGTGATACCCTCTCACTGTGGTCAAAAGAAATCCAGTCCCCTGCAACTCACCTGCAATGTCACAGCTCATTTAAATCAGATTTCCATCAGAAATAAAAGCATCTTTTAGGAAGCATCATATTAGGAAGGAGATCCCCCGGGAGTCTCCAAAAACTAGATCATGAGGGAAGTATTTCAAAAGCAGGGAAAAAGTAAAAGAAAGGAATGTGCAGTTTTAAGATGTCTGACAGTCTTGTCAAATAAGAACTAGACTCTTTTGAAATCAATCATGGAATACATTTGATCTCAACAGGTTTGGGCAGGTCTTAAACATTTAACAGAACATTTAAAAAAATTAACTCAGAAAATGTTTTCATATTTCTTGACCATAAAATTGCAAAAAATCTCCTAATTCCACATGCCATAGGGAGTACAAAGCTATACCATCCTTCCTCTTCCTTTGAACTAATAAAGTAAGTTACACACCAAGTACACCAACTTGCTAATATGTGCCAGTCTGAAAAGCATCATACTTTGCTAATTTCACTCACAGACACTCGGTCTGCAAGAGCTCTGACTATCTGGCAAAGCAGAATCTCACAATAACTACATTATTTAGGTCAAGAGCAAGAGATTAAAGAAAAAGGATGGAATGCCAATGATAATATTCAATGGATTTCATAGTTAGACCAGGGCCTTTCAGACCGCTTCAGACAGGAGCACTAAAGAGCAAATTATATTTAAGAAAAAAAACCATACTGACAGCTCATCAATTGATTTTCATTGAAAATCCTAAGAAAAATTAATAAAGAAGTTAAGCTGCTGAAATACAGTTTCACCAATTAGCTTAATGTCAGAGAATTCTAATTAGGCGCCTTGAGATTGCTATTTAGCGTTTAAGCCTTTAGAGTGCCAAATTCTCCCTTTCACACAAACTGGTTGCAAAATTAAAGACATTAGGCAGCCTTAATTATATTATCAGAACAGCTGGGATTAGGCAATCTCTGAAGTCAAGGCGGTATTCTTTTGTCACAGGGTAGAAATCCCTTGCTTTCCAGGGTGCCGGATTTTGGTGCTGTTCCATATCTCACCCATACAAAGCAAGCTGCATTAGAAACAAAAAAAAAATGAGGACAAAGAACAGAGTAATGCTTAGCAAATAATGAACACATTAAGGAAAGAGAAAAGGTAGGTGAAAAGATTAAGCCTGAAATCGGTAGGTTTTGCTAACACCTCAGCTGGCACCTGGCCTACAGAGCCTCTAGTGGCAGAAAGACTAAGAGAAAGCTCTGTAAACCAGCTTGGCTAGTGGATACAACTCTGTTATCTAAAGCTAAAGCACATTTCGTACTCTCTTGTCCCATGGGGTGTGAAATTAGCAGCTATTGTTTTCACACATTTTTATAAACACAATGCCTTTTATGTCTTTACATTGTTTAGACCGCTATGTTTTTCTCCTCCCATGGGAATCTTCTCTTTTTTTTTTTTTTTCTTTATTCAAATTTTAAATCAACAGGATTTTTATTCCAGGAACATGCTGGCATTAAAAAAAAAACACAACAAACCACCAACCATTTTATCCACACAAACTTTAGCTAAACACAAACATTTAGAAACTGGCAACAAAATCTCTACACTTTTTAGTCTGTAATCCAATCAAATTAATATTACACTGATAACATGGCAAAGAGGAATTCAAGTGTTCAGCTTGAAATGAGCTTTTAAAACAACCAAGGGGGCCACAAATCCTTCTTAAACAATTGTTCCCCCCCCCCCCCCCCCCCGCATAGCTCTCCTTGATGTAGAAAAAATACGCATTGGCTTTGTTATGATGATCCTCTACATTTAAAACCTCTTCCCAGTTAATTTAAAACGACTTTGGTTGTTAACATCAGTGTGAGCAGAGGCCTTTCCCTTACAGCTTGTAGAAAACTTTTTACCTGCTCTACTTTCTGCCTCTAAAAATATTAGGAAATAACAAACTAGTCCTTCAATCCAGTTAAATAAGAACAATACGATGACAAAGCAACAACTGATTTTACTGATTACACACTTAACTACAGCAACAACATTATGGCAGAAACCAAATAAATCCATTACAGCTTAAAATATTTGCCACATTAGAGTATTGTGCTAATGTCTTCTTACTACTCTTTACACTTTAGAAATATGTTCTGCTTCAGCACAAGAATAAAAGTTTGATGAACAGTCAACATATTAGTTTGAAGAAAGGATTTTTTTTTCCTAACAGGTTAAAAGCTTTTTTTCCTTTGTATTTGTGCTTGGAGTGTGTTCAAGAGTGTCATCTTAGTTTCTTCAGAAAACTAGGAAGCAAAGCACACGTTTTTACCCTGAAATGATTGCGTGCCCCATGAGTGTGTTCACGTGTGTGTACAGAGGACAGGGCACAGTGGGAAGGAGAATAGGAGTATGAGACAATAGGCAAGCACGCATCTTAAAAAGTACAATGAGAATTCCCACTGGATATGAAGAAAAAGGAATGGATATTGTTACTTGCGCTGCAACAGAAATCCCAGTGCAAATGATGGGGGGAGCAGAGATGCATAGTTTCTCCAATCTGGTGAGTTATCTATACTTGCCTGAATTTCTGAAGCATGGTCAATAACCAGAGATGATACTGACTGCCAGAACTCCAACTTAAGTTAATACAGAGCACAACAAAGAAGTCCAATCCTAATCTAAACTGGTTAATCAAATAACCACACATGGCAAGAAAAAATCCATGCCACGGTAACCAAGAAGTGCCTTCACTTGATAGGCAAATTGCCAATTAGGAGAATGTAGTTTGGCCAACAGCTGTGAACTGCCACCCTCTCTGCAAAAGAATGGTGCCAGTCAGACACCTCAAACCATTCCCTCCTTCACAGCCCTTTGTTACTGCTTCTACCTCCAGTGCCAAAATTCTGCAAGCAGAGAAGTCTATGCAATCCACTTTCATTAGTTGCTCAAGTTAACATTAAACCACTTACTTTGTTAATTCATGCTACTCTAGAGACTAGAAAGGCAGTTGACAACAAATAAGCAATCTTACATGCTTCTCCAAATTACAGAAGGCTTGAGTCGCTGTTCTGTGAGTTGCACAAGCTGGGTTCTCCATAGCGGGACAGTCTGGACTTGAGATGCAAGCACCTACTTAGTCCCAGTTTATTCCCTTACCCAGCTGCTTACAGGGGGACACCAGAAGATGGATCTTATTGCTGCCTTCTTGGCACTAACAGTGTTATAATAGAACTAGAACTGATGCCGTATTTACACTGCTCTGTCCTTTTTTCTGGTATAAAGAGGCAATACAGAAGTGAGGATATAATTAGTCTCAATCAGGGAAGCATATCTATGAGTCAACACAGAAAAGCCAACAAAAATAAAATGAGAGGAAAAACACTTCAATCAAGAAGACAGGAATGCTCCTTATTCTGCAACTTTTAAAAGCAGATAGTAACAAAACCCCAAAAGAGCACTTCATTCAGAAGTAAAAACTCACCTGCCCTGCCAACTCCAAACGTTTATTTCCATAGTAGTCTCTGTCATCTACTTTATTTTCTCCTTGAGCCAAAATTACTCTGCGCACCATCACTGCTGTGTATATGCACTTGGCACGAAAATTGAATTCCTTCACCTGTAAACAAAACAACAAAAAAGAAAAACATACCGATGTTTCAGGATCAGGTCCTTAGCTCTTATTCAGACAAACACATCCATTTAAATCAATGGGTTATCTGGGCTGACCGAGGAGTTACAAAAGGGATTTGTGCACTTTACCTTCTTAAAAAATGCTAAAAAGTAATATACATTAGTGACATTGAAACATATAGTAAATGAAAACAAGTCAGAATAAAGGTATAGGTCATGAGAATAAGGTCCTGAACTAATAGCTGATACCACCTGACTATGCAGAAAAAATGCATCGTATGGTAAGTAGTTCAATGGTACAGCATTTCATAAACATAAAGATTACTTTTGACTCAATCCAAATCTTCCCCTTTATTTTGAGGATGATTTACTTTATCTCAGCTACAAAGCAATCATTTTTCCCTGCCAACAAAGCTCACACCATAAATAACCACACAAATTTACTCCAGTTTAAAAAAAAAAGCATTACATACAAGAACGTGGGTCAGAATAGTTGATGCTAGCAGCTCTCGTGCTTCTTCCATCTTTGTTTTCTTTGGGCCTCCCCACATCCTTTGCCTTCGTACTTTGTTTCCAATGTACTTCAATGCCTGTCAAGGGGGGCAATTAAGTTAATATCAGAATTGTAACCTATACAAATATACACACATGGATATCTGTATATATTCCTCAGTCAGTGCAATCCCACTAGCCACAGATGATACAAACTCCAAACAAAGTGAAAAATACCAAACACATAAGTGACGCTAAAAAAAAAAAAAAAACCAACTTGAAAATTGACACAATTGATTATAATTAAATATACAACATGTTTATCATATGTTGATAACATTTGGAATGGGAATTGGTGAAAGAACATGATTACTACAATATTAAAAGAAACAGGATTGCAGAGATATAGGAAAAAGGATTATAAAAATTCCAAAAATATCTAGTTCATTTAATTTGACTTTTCATCTCCAGTTCTTTTGTGTATTTGCTAAGTTTCATTCAGATATTAAACCATGAGGTGGCACTCACTGTTTAATAGGCACAAACTCTACTGTGTGGCATCTACATGTGTCTCCAAGAGTACCTTGCAATAATTAATGGATTCTTACTTTCTTATCAGGTGTCCAAGAAATGGGATCAAGCTGAATTTAGGGTCACATGAGTCAAAGAAACTACCCAGGTCCACACAGGAAGTTCTTGCCTGGAAATGAAGCCATGCCCCCTATGCCAAAGAATTACCCTCTCCACTAGATGACAGATTATCCTTTCCATCTGTTACCTTCTTCCCCAAATAGCTCACTTTTTTTTCATTTCATTTGACACTTCTTCCACAGACTAACTTCTGTATTTCTGTTTTTCTTCTTTCCTGGATGCTTCACATTTCTCTATGTTCCTCCAGCATCACCATTTTACTCTTCTGACTGAATTAGGAGGCCTTCATGCTACCTCTAACCCTGAAAAGCCCCAAAAGATGTAAACTAGAAAGCCATTCAATTTACAGCACTCAACACCACACACGGAAAGGTTCAATACAGTTTAGAATGAAATAGAAGTAAGACTAATCTTCAAAGGTTCTTCTAGCAGATTAATATGTACATGATGGAAATGCTGCCAGCAAAATGGCCTGTGTTCTAGCTAATTAAAAAGTGTATGAGCTGAAGAGAATTCTGATGAGTCTTCAGCAGGATGGAGGGTGGCTATTACTGTGGGCTTTACACAAGAGGTTAGAATTGAAGGAGAACATCTACTCATGATGAAATGGTCATGTCCACACCAATGGGGCTTCTGCAAAACGGGGTATGCAATTCCTTTTTGAAAAATGGGAATTGTCCTCAACAAAAAAATCCTAATCTTATGGACATCACTACTTGTCACATACACTAAAACATAACCCTGGACTTCTGTAAACAAAGCATTTCTTGATGTTAGGGTTTTTTTCAGTTAGGCAATGAGAGCAAAGTTTCACTTAAAAACCCTCAGCTTAAAATAAGCCCTAAAAAACAAACCTCAAAACACAAAGTGTATGTTGACTGCTGACACAGCAAAGTGGTCAATACCCACAGTCTTCAGATTTTTATGGCCTCTGGCCATGTGAAAAGACACACCTGCATCTGTGTAAAAATCTGAGCTTTTTGGCATTCTTCCAGACTAGGAGCAAATGCAGCCATCACATGTTCCTCTGTGCCAATCATTTGTACAATCTCTTGGTCACTCTCAACACCCATGGCCTAGGAAAAGAAGAAAAGACAGAAATAGCACAGGCTTTATGTTAACTCACTGACATTTGCTTATGCTAATTTGGTATTGTTTGTCTGCGTTACTACTAAGCAAGAGCTAGTTCTTCTCTAAGAAACTGTGCCATCTGGCACTGGCAGCACGTATTCTAGCTATGGAAGAACATTAAATGGAAATCTTGATAAGCAGCAGGAACACACACACAGTTTTTGGAGAGCCTTTTTTTCTTCACTGACAGGAGTTAAATTCTATGTTTTTTCTTAAGAAAAAAAAAAAACCACCAGGTAATAACAACCCTACCTGTGTAACAACGAAACCCAAGTCAGAATCTACAATAAATAAAGGAGGGTGAAATTTCTTAAAAGATTACACATGGTCTCTTACCACAAGCAATTTTGCAAACTCAGTAGACTGTGATGCAGCACGTCCTACTTGAGGAACGTTTACAATTTACCTCCTTTGCAGCTCTCCGCATTTACAAGATGACTTCACTACAGAATTCCACTTGAAAGCCATTCTATTATTTCACTGATCCTTGGACACCTTGTTAGACTTTATACTGCGGAAAAAGCTTAATAAACTAAGAAAGCGCTTAACAGGTTTAGAAAAATCTCTCTATCAGTAAGTGTTTCAAGGTGGCAGCCAGCAGTGAAGGCCTTTGTGGATTCCAGATGGTGCTAAAGCTCCCCCCTTCACACATTTGCCTGGAGCTCTGCCATATCAAGAAATGGAATAATCTCACTAAACCTCTTCTGGCTGAGTTATAATATGTTTCTCAGAACTTTGTGAGGAAGTTACGTTTGCATTCATATTATTCTTCAAACTGCCTGCCACAAAGACCATTGTAAATAATGGCCTATGTAGACCCTAGTACTCTGGTTCTCATTAAAAACTGGCAGAATCCCAAAAAGTCACATTTTCCTCAAAAATGCACAAATACCTTCCCTTCTTATTGCCTTCATTGGGTGTCACTTTGCTTAACACCTAGCTAACACTATCCCCTTGCAAAACTGTTGCTATAATTGTGAAGTATCCAGCCTTTTTTTTCTTCTTTTTTTCTTTCATTTCTTCTTTCTTTTTCAACAAAGAAGTGGTTGGTTGAAGTTCCTTTAACTTAAAACTCTCTCTCTTCACCTTGTGGTTTACTAGAAATTAAAAGCAGTGCAAAAGTAGCAGACACCTATAACAGTGTGAGAACATTCCCGTTTTAGCACAAAGCACAGATGACAATTCCACCATCTCGGACAGACTTGAACTCCAAATCAAGACACAAGTTACTTCACCAGACAAGAGTGTTTCATCATAGTTTGCTGCCACTAAGTAGTCACCCCTCTGATCTCAAGGCTCTTTTCAGAACCAGGATTTGCCCAAGTGATATTACTGTAGTTCAGATCTCCATTTTTCAAATATTATAATACTTTCTCACCCTTTTAAATAAGGTCACACAGTAGTTTAAAAACCTCAGCAGAGAAGTTAACAAAATCCCTCATGACCTGAGAGCCAGACCCATAAGAAACTCTACAAAACCATGAAAGCTTCACAACAGTAATTTTCCATGTGTCTAGAACTTTAAATAGCTAAGCAGCAAACCAGTTTAAGAACCACAACTGGATTCACACAATTATTGCACTAAGCCTACAGAAGAACAAAATGTTATTAAGGGAATCTTTGTGCCACTCTAGGCATGTATACCAGGAATACATTTATCTAAAGCACATCAAATGCAAGGTGATAAGATGTAACCCTATTTCTGCCCACCAGGTTAATTTTAGGATGGCAATCAGATCGTAAGAGACGCGTAAAAAGTGAACAAAACAAGTGGGGAAAAAAAAAAGTCAAGCTGCAGTTTTACTATGCTCTTTCGTCCATCAAAAAACAGAAAGCCCTGGTAAATTAAAAAGGGTTGATGATTTCTTCTAACTTGATGAATTCTCTGATCAAAAGTCTGACAACAAGATGAGAACAGGACATATCATTATGCCCATGTAGATTTTCTAGTTGAAGTTTGTAGCAGCAAACTCACTTGAGCATTCTGAATTTGTGTGTGGGAAAGGCTGGGATCTACCACCAAATATATGTTGTATTGTTAGATAAGTGCAAATTGGGGGAAATTATAAGTCATAACTATAAACCTAGGCAAATGACTGAAAAAGATGCGCTGATACAATAGCCTAAAAGTAAACCCATTTCTTCTCCTCTGTACTCTCAACAATCATGGGCAAAGCTGCACATGCAAATCCACCTACATGCAACACTAACAGGGCAAGCAACAGGCCCATGCTGATATCAGATAGATTTGTAATCTTAACACTTTCTTTTTTAGTAAATTTGGCCCTGATGTTGCACTTCTACAAAAAAAAAACAAAACCAAAGAAGTACTCTAGAATTAGCCTGTAACATCACTAGGATAGTAATAAAATACTCCTGGGTTGTTGCTTGTGTTACAGAAACATTGAGGACATGCAAAGTAGGAATGGGTCCTATGCTTAAAGTGCTCATGATCCCAGGACAAAGCCAAGGGAAAGGGAATTAACATAAAAGCATAGCAGGAGACAAGATGTCTTGTTTATTTTTGATTGGAAGGCGATGTCACAAAGGGATAATTTTAGGGGGCAGTGGAGGGGAAGGAGACATTGCAAAGGGATAACTTAACAGTAGCAGTGAAGGGATGAGGAAGGAGACAGTAGCAGGCCATTGAAGAGCATGGTTGGAAGGCTAGTAGTCAATGGACATAAGGCAGACAAGTCAAAGCGAACATTCAGACTATTCAGATCATCCTGAGTAGGAGAAAGTGGTCCAACTGGGGTAAGCCACTTCCTAGGACTGGGGAGGTTCCTGCTGCCCAAAACGTTGTGTGTGTGCATGTGCCCGTGTGTGCACACACACACGTACATATAAGAGAGTGTGCATGGGAGACTGCGAGCCCAGCTCTTCCTCCCCCAGCTCATGTCTTAATGATGATGTCTAGGCGTTTCCATGGCACTTGCCTAGAATGTAGTTCTGCAGTCCATCAGGCTAAATTACAGAATGGAGACAGGCAGATGACTGGATTAAAAAGATGTCAAGGAAGTTCAAGGTTGACATCACAGACAGAATTGGTCTGGAGCTTTCATAATTCAAAAGATACGGGCTATGAAACTGCAGCCATGGGAACCTGTAATTCTACAGATCCAGTAAGACCACCATTCAGCTGTTCCTGTAGAGCTGCCTCTTAACAGCTCCAAGACTAACATAGGTTTGTAAAAATGAAACTTGACCTGCTGTTCAAATCTTTTGCCTCAGGTCCTAGAGCAGCTCCTTATAGCTCCCACATAAACTAAAGATACTTCACCTAGCAATTAGGTTGTAAAATTCGACTTTTAAGTCCCCCTAGGTTACTTATAATTCTCTTCCTTCCCCAGCCAGTTTTGGTGCAGCGTGCAACCTTCATTTACTTCAGCTCCCAGGACTCACTCAAGTCTACCGAATCAAGATTACAAACCCAAAAGAAAAATAGCCCTTACCTTAAAACAGCTCTAACTCACTGCAATGTAGGAAGCTCCCTGCAAAAGCAGCAGCTCTACCTCACCTGTAACCCTGATGTTTTTCAGGATAGAAACACCCTGAAGTACTACACAAATATTCCACACCTCCTCTAATGCTCATTGCTACCTAAAACTGTCCAAGCCCCCCAGATAAAACGTGCATAGCTCATAGCCTGACATATTCAAAAAACCCATCCACACAGTTCACACAGCCCTATGATCTGTGCTCAACTGACACACAGCTAAAACAAAGGTCTCTTGGGGTTGCAGGTCAACTCAGGACATCCTAAATACCATTCTGGTTGCGTGTGTATATTAAGTAATGAAGCAATGTTACACAGTAAGCAGGAAGCAAATTAGTTGTGTCTGTTTCCCATTACAAGGTAGCTGACAGCCCTTTAAAAACCTCAACAAATACATACTTTGGGGGCAAAATTGTCCAATTTATATCACTGCTTCAAACCAAAACCTGCATTTACATATATATATGGGCTGCACAAATGTTTCTGTCCTTTCAAGAAGAAAGGTTAAAAGTGTTTAAGAAAAAGTGTTTAAGCTAGCACAGCAACAAAGCACTAACTCGCCCACATCTGAAGGGCAGACTCTTCAAGCCTGTCCCAGAATAGTGCCATGACCATGCCTTTTGTAGCCTATCAAATTTCAGTTATCTGTTGTCAGTGGGTTAAACTTCACAGAACTACAACTTACATGTGCTTGGCACAACTAGCTGTTAAATCACTGAATATGCCAATCACAAAGATCCTTACAGGTCTGGTTGGCAGAAAAGCAAAGCTGCAGAACAAGGTCATTCAGGCTTGCAGTTCAGAAGAGACTATGGATAAGGATGAACTGCAAGGCAGATGCCACCCTTAAGGTGACCCTACACAGTCCAGTCCCCCCACCTATCCAGATCAAGGGACCTTTAGATCCACACTATTTCCACCCCTCCCCACAGCCCATGCACCTGGGTTTCCTTCCTCACCATGAAAGAAAAAAAATTATGGGGAACACTGTATGTTCAGGTCTCACCCTAGCATGCAGCTAAGAAGTGTCCACGACTCATGCCTGAAACACAAAAGTGCTCTTAGATTCTAGTCTAGGGAGCTCTTTATGAATTTTAGGCCGCAGTTCTGTCAGAGGGTAGTGTTTGTAATACTCTCTATTGCACAGCCCTTGCTTTTGACAAAGATGTCTAAGGGATAGTAGTACACCTCCACTTCACAGTTGCGGTAGCTTTAAATCCACATTACATCATAGATCTCCAATACTTGCTTTCTTTTCTGTAAAGTTACAATTATTTTCTGTACCTGCTCTACACCTTACGTCATCTGCAGGAACACTGGGCCATTTAAAGCTATTGGGACTAGAAAGACAATCCAAAATTGCCCAACCTTCTCCCACTGACTCTCAGATAGTCCCTGACAAAACTGTCCCCTCTAGCTGGCCCATGCACTGGATAGCAGCCCTCTACCAATTACTAGTTATTTTCTTAGTCAAAACACAGAGGTCTGTCGAACTTGGTTGCAGCCTGGATGCTGGTCTGGGAGTAAATGCAGAGCAATAAATTTTTGTCATTGCTTTCTCAGTTTATTTTTTAATTGGAAATTATACAAAGAGTTGCTACAGTAGAAGTTAAGGGGGCAAAGGCAACCAAAACTTCAGACCTTAGATTGTCTGTACAGCTTAACTTTGCCCCTTGCAGATGTGTATCTATACAAGAAGCAAAACACCTACGAGTAATGAGGAAGACCCATGCTCCATGCCCACGGCTTGGGTCTCAGCAGAAAGGAATTATTCTCCTTGCTTTTCCAACAAATCTCCTATGTATACTACTGCCATGTGGGAGAGCTGAGGCTACAGGGAGATCCCTAAGTTAGGGATTTTCCAGTTGCAGGGCTATAGTGTTTGTAAGCTTGCTTCTAGTAGTTAAATACAAAAGTAATACTGCATTACAGCAATGCCCAAGAAAGAAAGATCAGAGGCCGGTGCCTGCCTAAGAATCCATTGAAAAGACTGTCTGGGTTTTTTAGTTTCCAGCTGGAGACTCATCAAAAGTGGACAGAAGATCCCTGAAGTTCACATGTCATTAAAGGAAAGGTAAAGAAAATGATCACTCATGAGTACAGTTAAGTGCCAGTCAAGAATGGAACATTCAGCATAGTTGAAGTGGGTGCAGCTAATTTGCTACTGGATTAAATCAATACAAAACTTTGAAAAGCATTACGGCCAAGAGCTTCTAACAACTGTAACCCCTTATTCAATAAATAAAGGAAAAATTATGCAATGTTATCTAGAATATAAAAGATACATATAGGCAGGGGGATAATTACAGCAAGCATTGTCAGAAAATGATCAAATAGTCAGTACAATGCTGCTTAATAAAAACCCCAACAACCACCTCCTCAGGCTTAATAACCCAGAGCAGTTACTCTTCTGTGAGCAGGTATTTATCTATACCAGCAGGGGGTGACAAAATGTAATAAAAGTCTGTAAGTGAAGGTGGAATCCAGCTGTTTGGTACTTGAGCAAATGGATTAAGAGCCACATTAACACTTTCCTGCAACAGAAAATTTGTGAACTTAATTCTGACACTTCTATGTGCATTTCTGTCCACAAATAATTTCTCAACTTCCTTTAACATTGGTCACTAAAACCAGATGATCTTCTCCAACTACTTGAAGAGATTAGGTTCATCAGAGATAACAGACATCTGTTTCTCAAGTCTAAATCCAATTATTAAACTATTTTCTAGTACCAAACCCAAAGCATTTCCTACAAGAAAACCGATTCTTACAACTCTCAATCAGCCAAAGAGCTGTGGTAACACAGAAAAGTCTGTAGTTGCCAACACAAACAGATCAGCACTGGTGGCAGAAACTGCTTGGATGCTGTGAGCAAGTGCTGCCCTCTCCTGGCAATTTATTTCCTTGACTATCTGTTCCCCAAACCTTCCGAGCTGTAAACCATTACAGTGAAGACCAAAGGGGAGCTATAGGATTTACTTCTATTGGTTGCTAGATCCAGTCAGAGGCATTTTTGTGCCCTAAGCCACCTTCCCTGTGAACAGTGCCTCCAAGAGCGCTGCCCAGTTTCCTTCTGCACATGCACTGCACCAGGCTGCAAACCTACAGGCAGCAGCGAAGCCTACAGGACTGGAAGGAGCTACCAGCTGTTGGGAGGACAGGTCCTAGCCTAAGGCACGGTCGGACAGTGCATGTCCACCCACCTTAACGGGCTGTAGCCCAATGCGTTCAATACCACACACAGATGGGCTACCAGCCTGCTTCCAGTCCTGTTGGGCACAAAGGGAGTAATCATCGTTACGCCTTCAGCTACATGCACCCTTGAGTGAATTAAAATGAAAGAGAGAAGCAGAGGGCGAAAGAAAGCAGTTCTGGCAGTTTCACAGGCAATGACAGCCAAGGCATGACACTGTCACCAGCTCAGCTGGCAGGGCAAATACTCCCCAATTCTTGCCCAGAATCAAGGGTTGATGCCTCTCACAGCCCTTTATCAGTTCCACCGGAGATTGCTTCAAAGCTATGATGCCTGTCCATATGTTCACTGCACTGAAGATACTGGTGAGTGCTCCTAAATCAGGCAGGGATTCTCAAGTATTCTGACTGAGGCCGAGCTCATTCACAGGGGAAGCAAGTGAACTGCCAAGAAATGCAACTCACTAGTAATCTTAAAGGATTTAAGAATATGTCTAAGAATTGCAAGACTTCCCCAAAGGCTATCGGTTTTGTTTATGGTTATGACTGGAAGTCATGTATAACAAGCTCCCGGCTATGTCATGTCCCCGGATCTGAAACAAAGGGTGTTGAGCTACTCAGCAGTCCACAAGTTGGAGGTGAGGAGGACCAAAACGAGAAACAAAGACCCTTAACACAAGTTTGCAACATAGGTCATAACAAAAGAAACCAAAAGCCTTCTGACTTTCTGTAGCAACAGGAGCACAGGCAGCAGTGCAGAGGGACCTTACAAAACAGTAAGGGGGTAGCAGGCATTTGTCTTGCCGCAGCAATGCTCTCCTTGCAGAAAAATGCAGCACTTTTTCTCCTTTTTGCTGTACAATAAGGATGACTTCCCTGCAGAAAAAACCTTGCATTCTCTAAGCCCTGCCAAGTCCTTCTGTACATACTAACTTCTGAGAGCTGCCGCCAATCTTCCTTCTTGAGCTATAGCACAGCTTTTTTTTTTTCCAAACCAACAGTTGTATTACCTTAAATATGATAGCAATGGGAATATCTTCTGACAGAGTGTTGTGCCTGAGGTAAAATCTTCCTTGTTTCACAACCATATTTGTTCTGCTCTTCTTCTCGTGAGTGGAACTGAAGTTAAAAAAAAATATATTATGTCCAACAGAAAGTTTGCACTGACATTCCTAGAATCTTCTGTATAAATCTTACCAAGCTTGAGCAATCTTTCAGCTGAATTAATCCCACTTTCACCTCTTTTTAAAATTACATTAAAACAGCCAGACATCACCCTGTAACTCCAAGGTAAGAGGGTATTATGACCTGTGATGGGGAAGGTCAATATTCGACTTAAGCAAGTAGAAGCCTGTACTTTTCAAAATCGTCTTTGCATGCTTTTATCATCAACTTGGATATAACCAGCAAGGTCAAACTGTGCACAGGTACTGTGGCAACAACAGTAATGAAATAACAGTACTTTGTGTTGTACGTTTAGCCTCATCTATGCTTACTGTGGAACAGTAAAGGAGCTAGGAGAGATGTGAGAGGCCTGTGGAGAATTAAAAAACAGCCCTCACACCGAACAGTGACAAGCACCGTATTATACCAGCATGCAGCTTAAAAACAAAACCAAAGGCAAACAAAATGTAAATAAAACTCCAACAAAAAGGCCAAATTTAGACTACCATGCCATTTTCAATAAATTGTGTTGTACAAAAATATTTGATTTTTGTTTCCTTCTCAATTGCCTTTAAAAACTTTTACACCAATTTGATTTAGAGTCAGACAAAAGGTTACACCCATTTTCCACTGCAGTAATGTCCATGTTACTTGCTGCAAAATGAGACCAAACACCATCAATTAGGAAGTGCACTTTGTTATGTTAAAAATTAGAACTTGCTTTTTCTAGTCTGGGATGAATCCTGAAGTGTATGAGTAACTCCCACTGATTTTTGTGGGAATACTATACTAACTGATTTTGGGACTGATGTTTTAGTGTACAAAATGACAGTAGCAAGAGAGGGGCATTGAATGTCTAGTTTTTTCCTGTTAAACTGTACTAGGAAGAAAACTATGTGACTACTTCAACTACAACAATGAACTTTTAAAGCTTTGGTTTTATCTCCTGTATGTAATTGCAGGCACTTACCTGGTAACAGAAGCGCCAACTGTGCCTTTTCTATCAGCTTCCACAATGATTCTGTTTTTGGATAACTGCTCTTGAATAAGGATGACTTTTTCTACACCTTTAACAATGAAATAGCCACCTATTCAATTGAAAAGAAAGATTTTGCATGTCAGTACCCTTGCACCTTACTCACCTCCTTCAATATGCCTTTGAATATAAATTATTAGAAAGTAAACAGAGTAAGTACACAAAGGACAAAACAGGAGAGTAAATTCTCCCTTAAAAGAGTAAAGAACAAACTCTGTGTGGAACCAATGGTAACTATGAAAATGTTCCACTGGACTAAACAGAACTTTTGCTAGGCTCACACATAGTATCTGGGCTCTAAAACTTTATTTGGGAAGTACTCGGACAGGCAGACCAAAAACTGCAAAGCTGTAAAAAAACCCAAACCTTAAGGTAACCATACTTATTAAAAGATGTTACAGAATTGTTAGTTCTACAAATTAGGTAAAAATATTGCCTGTCAGAAGAGTGTATCATAAGGACATCAAAAAAGAACTGGCCATTTCAGATGCTTCATATCAAATAAAGAGAGTAAGTCTTCTGTAACTACCAACTTGATCTCTCCAGCACTCCAGGAGAAATTTCTTTTGTATTACTTTTAAAAAATTATTTTAATGCCCTTGCTGTATCTAAGACAATACAAGGAATCTGCACGAGCCATGACAGATTCCTCTCTTAAATTGTAGCTGTCTATTAATGTTTCTCCAGCACAGCACATCATGTCACTGTATCTTGCCATCACATGCAAGCACAGCACATGTCCAGTGCATGCTTCAAAGGCCGCAGATAAAAACCAAAGAAGTTGCCTGTTATAACCCTTCATCTCCTCTCTACATTTCAAATATTATCATGTAATACTTTATTCTTGCTTTACAAAAGGCAACAAATGAGTGTGCCTGCTCTGGAGGACACCATTATACTCCAGTCTCCCCTGAACCTCTTCATTTTCATGAACAAACTCCATCTCTGTTCCCATATAACACATCACTGTACAATGCTATATACACTTCTCAACTTTTTCAAAATTTTGTTGTATTGTTTTTGTGGTTGAAAACTCCACCTTCAAATACCAACATTCCATGCTGTCAACCATTTCTTACTATTTTCAAAAGCCTGCTGATTTCTTTTGGTTACAAGCATACACTTGAGAAGTTCCCACAATGAATTCACAGTGGCAGGAAACATACCAATGGGGTATTTCTTTGCTGAAAAAGATTTAAAACTAAAAGCACAGATGGGAAAAAAGAACATGAATGCAAATGTACCTGGATCTAAAGGACATTCATTAAGTTTGGCAAATTCTGCTGGAGTTTTCCCAGTAAGAACACAATTGGAGCTACGCAGCATTATAGGCATTCTGCAAGAAAACCAGGCACACTTTTACTTTAGATTCAGATAGAAAAACATGAATAGTCAAATTCAGAACAAAAACCATGCTGAACAAACTGGAGAAAACACGTGTAAGGTAATTAGAATACATTCAAGCTATGAACAACACTTTTTTCCTTTAATCCCACCTTATTTCATTGAACATGTAGTTTGAAAAGAGAGACCTGAAAATGGACATCTACCGGCAGAGACTGAAGACTTCCTATTTAATTTTTATGCAGCTACTACAGGCATCCATGACAAGCACTGTCACCAAGGCCAATGATTACTAGTACAAAGACTCCTGGTCCCCAAAACCAGTACAGTCTGCACTGAAGAACATGCCATTGCGGATCCACTGTTACCAGTTTTAATTAGAAAAAGCTAGTTCAGATCTGATTTCCCACAGAGCAATCACACATTATGGCTGCAGACAGATACTGCCTCTAATGCATAACCTAGGTATGAAGTTTCCCCAGTAGTAGCTCTGATTTCTCTGGTGCCTTTGTACAGAAGCCTGCAGCAAGCATTTTGTGAAGCAACATGAAGTGGTGGAAAAGTATTCCAAGAAATTAAAAACAATTTCCATGCTTAGGAGTTAAAAACAGAGTTAAAGTATATTTTTTTTATATACTAACTTAAAACTTCACTACAAGAAGGGTAGCTCCTTAGGTATCTATCTTCTCTTTCCTGCCAGTATTCCACCTTTGGTAAGACGCACAGTCACACAGTAAACAATCTCTGTAAGACACCGACCTTCAAAGCCCGCAGGGTCGGTCTTTAAGAAACCTTGTCTACAAAAGACAGACATCTTTATTGCCTTTAAAACGGAATTTTGCCTTCAATAAATTCTAGAACTGCCAGGTATTTTGCCTTTTTGGTATGGCTAAGAGCTTCTTTTTCTCCCTAAGGCACACTACTTTTTCTTTAAGAAATTACATATCCTTCACAATACTAATAACCTCAAGTCATTTGACAGCCTTTAGAAAAACAAAATCAGAAAAAAATCCTCACATTTCTCCACAAAGCTCAGCCTTGGCTCTAAACCAAACCAATTTTAAAAGAGAGATTAACCTTGTACAGAAGAACTAAAGCTTGCTTTGCTGGTTTTACCATCCACCTTCCACAGATGCATCTCTACATATTATGTATGAAAGACTGAGTAATTTGGCTACAAAGAAAACATGATTATTTTCATTTTGCAATAATGCAACTTGCAGATTCAGTATTCTTTCATATATTTCCCTCTTTGGTTTTGTATCAATACAAACATAGACATCATCCATCCTTTGGAAGGAGACAGATTTCCAAAAGCTTTTGCAAAATGAAATCTTGTAACAGAACCTAACAATCCCATCCTGAAGAGCTGTTCATCAAGATTTGCATGCTCACTGTTTCTTTTAACAAGGAAGCAAGGTTAGCCCACGTTTATTTTGCAGTAAAAACTCTTCCCAACAAAGCAGCAAATAAAAACTAATACCAGAAGCTCAACGTACAGTATCTTACCTGCCAATGGGTAATGCATTGCGTATGATCCTCTGGCTACCTCGTGTATATTCAATGTCCACTGTAATCGGGGCAGAATAAGTCATGTCTCTCAAGCGGCACTAAAAGGAGAACAGTCACGTGGTTAGATGTTAGCTTACAAACTGAAGAGTCTCTCTTAAAACATCCCATGTTTGCCCTGCCTCCTGTAAGTCCTCACAAAGAAATCAAGCAAAGCGAAGCTTGACCAAGCTCTTCATGGTACCTGAACTATGTTTGACAGAGTCTCCAGTTTAAAACAAAACAAAACAAAAAAACCCAAATAAAATTCTTGTGATGTTTCAAAAGCAGCTAGTGGATCTGTGTCTTCAGATGACAGCACTGCAGAACATAACTTCTAAATTGTTCAAGTAAACAAACAGGCCTAATCAGCAGAGCTGACACAAAGACCATACTATGCCACAGGCTCCGAGAGCACTGCTCAGCTCAGGGACTTTTCTGTAAGAAGACTCTCAACAGCTGAAGAGTTGTGCTGTCATATGAAGTTTGATAGAAGGTAAACACACAAGAGTAAAAGAGACACTGTGCTACCTTATTAATAGAATGAGAAAATCTCACTGTGTGGTACCGTTTCTAAAGATGACTTACAGAAGCCTCACTACAGCATCCCCTCCTGTAAAGATTCCCAGAATTGGTTTGCAAATTCCTCAGATAGCAAGAGAAGCAGGATATACATATATAGGACATTATATAGCTCAAGGCTCAATCATTTCTAATCCAATCTTTCTGGTCTGCTCTCCTCAGCCTCACTCTATGACTCTGTTGCTAGCCCTTAAGGTATTGCATATCTTCATGCAAGACAAGGTTTACTGCGTTTGCTGAATACAACTGAGCAACTCACAGCAGGTCATTTGTGACCTCACTGAGCATTCTATACCTCTGAGCTCCAGGATTACAGGATTATCAGTATTCAGACTTGTACATTTATGGTTCTATAGTCTTTCAGTGTATTGATTATGCATTAATAAAAGGCAGTTAAGATTGTGCTGTGCATTGAAGATGCAATTGTATGGAAAAATATGCCTCAAGAATCATTGCAAACTGTATGCTCCTTCTCTCCACATTAAAAAGTAAACCACTTCCCTAGTAATAAAATACCGATGTGCACCAGCAGTTTTCAAGCTGTGACTTGTAGGAAACTAGGTCCCATTATGCTCCCAGCAATTTCATTGAATTTAAAAGTAACTGAGAATATTTCATTCTAATTACTTTAAATTCATCTGTATGAACAGTTGATGAAACTCCCATAAGGACTGCATAAGAAGGAGAGTTAGATAGCTTCATTACTATTACTTAGGGGAAAAAAGGCTTTGGGATTCTTTGTGCGTGCTTTGTCCACACAAGACACAGATATAAAATCAGAATTACATACTGTAATATTCCAGCATTTGTATTTTTGTATCGCCTTCTTTGATGTAACTTCTCCTTACATTAGACACTTAGAGATCAAAGACAGGCATAACTTGATCTTCAAGGAAACCAAGGATATAACAACTCCCAAATTTGATTGAAAATAGGTAAAATACTCAAGACCCTTATGAAAATCTGATCATTTTAGGTGTCTTTGGGAAGCCTCTAACAGAGAAATGTAATGACATACTCATAAGTATCCAATCTCCTTTGTTTTGTTTGGTATTTTTTGTTTTTTAAATTGCACCCCTAGTTTGACCTGATCAGCATCCTATTCAAGAAAATAACTGTGGCCTTCATGTACGTGTAACACACTGAAAAAAAAAAAAAAGAGGAAATGATGCACTAGCATTAAGCATCAATGAGGATATACCTGAGATGCAAGAATAGTTTATTCTAAATTAAAGGTCAATATGCTCTATGAAGCATTTATTTTGCCCTCTTCTGCTCATATACTTTAAAATTATACAGTAAGCAAGCATTTTAATACCTTCACTCTTGGATACGAGTTGTTAGTTACAAACAATTTTTTGCATGCAATTTCATTCATACATAGAAAATACTTCCCACTGCATTTTGTGCACATTTGTACCTAGTGATTCAACATTAGCTACACATTTGTGAGATCCATGAACTGTCCTGTATTACATCTAATTGCACTGTTGATGGCTGAGTTACTGGCCTTACTTAAAATCTTTCCATCGAGTTAAATGAGATTTGAGTCAGGTCACTGGAGACAGAAAACGTGGCTATGCACAAGAGGCAGCCACTAGATGGCTTTTTAAACAGAATTTCTCCAAAGCACTGAATGTGTTTTGTGACAGAATCTAAAGTGTGCCACGTACACTACATGAACACCCCCCCCCCCCCACAATCCAACTTCCAAGTATCAAGTCTATATAGCAAGGAAAAAAGTGTCTGATAGATGAACTGATTTATTAGGTTGACAACAGGCTATATGTAGGTAAATGGGGGAAAAAAGTTGCAAGTTTCAAGCTCAGTTCCCATTCTGAGGCCAAAAAGAGGTTGTCATTACTTCTGTTGCAGCGGTATAAATCTCAAAGCATAGCAGCAGGAGAGGAATACTTCGTTCCTGACCAATCTCTGAAGGGAAGTGAATGGCTTTAGATACCTGGAAGCAATCCTGCAAGGTCCAAACCTTACCTTAGTTTATTGCTTTCTTATATGTACAGAATCTACCCTATACCCTGCCAAAAGCAACAGACTCTGATGTCAGTCACAGCAGCATTTGTTCTCCGACATGCATCTTTATTCCAGAATTACACAATCCATTTGTTAACCTACATGGTTACAGCAGTGCAAAGAAGTTAAACATGTTCCCCATAAGGTTAACGCTCTTTTGCAGTTTCTTATTATTTTATCAACTTCCATCCATTTCTGCTCACAGTTTTCATGTTTGCTCTATGACTCAGACTTAAAAACTGTGAGCAAAAAATGAGAGATGCATTCCCAAAGAAGACTGGAAGGGAAAGGGAGACTGAAGTGACCTATGGTGCAGACAGTAGCTGGACTAATATTAAAAAGAAGTTAATAAAAACATCAAAGAACACTACATTGTAGTGTGAGGACTTCAGCTCTGTCACAAGCAGAGCAACAAGATTAAGCAAGAGAAGTACTTTTCACTACTTTCATGGAAACCCACTCAAATACAGCTACCATGAAACACTGAATACAGCCATTCGCACATCAGAAAAAAGTAAAAGAAAAAAATGTCATATTTATTACATCATGTTTAAATCTCTGAGACTTCTTTATACAGTGATGGTCAAATGCATTGCATCACCTAATGCAGCAGGCACGTACTCAAAATAAAGTTACATGCAGCTACTACCCAAGATGTTCCCAAGATCAGACAGATGCAAACGTTAATACCTCATGAGGCGATACAGGTCGTGTCACATTGAAGCTTTCTTCCACATCTGGAGTACCCACATAGATATTGAGGTACCTGTAAAACAAACAGTTCCAAAATGAGTAATGAGCCAAATATTTTTCAGGTGACCTGAAGGAAGCAGAATTCTACGTATACTGAAAAATGAAGTTACTTTGATGAACTTAAGTTGATTAATAGTGAGCAATGATTCTTCCCAAAGTAACTCAGTATATTTGAGCTGTGTTCTAGTTATTTAAAATTTAAACTGTGCATGCAATAAACCCCAAGTTACCTTTGCAAATAGACAAAAAGAAATTCCCATTTTCATCTGAGATTACTAAATTACAGAAAAATGGTAACATAAGCTATTGTTAACAGCTGGCTATTAAGTCTGCTTCACATGATTATTCTTTAAATCTTCCCATCTTTCAATGCTCCAAATAAGAGATAAGTCATGGAAAATACTCTCTTGATTTATACCTACACAGCCATTGGCTATTTTATAGCCAATAACAAACCCATGAGATAGTACACATGCTACTACTGATATAGAAATCATTTCATGCTTACTTCAAGTACCACATTGGGTCAGCATCACTTGTAACTTTTTCATTGGCCTTCATGATTTTCTTTATCTGGAGGGAAAAAAAAAATAAAAATAGAATCATGTGCCTTTTCTGAGTACTAAGAGCCACTCTCTTCCCACCAAGAAAGCATACCTCTACATTGATGAAATAGTTGAATGAGTCTATGTGCTGCTTCACAAGTCCTTTCACCTGGAAAATACATGCATGCAGCAAATAAAATTAGGTTCAATAACATTAATCACACAAGGCAGAAATTAAGATACAAGCATTTATAAGTGCTTTTGGTTCTGTGCTAAATTCTTTCAGTTGGCAAACTTCCGAGAACTGCCTGGATGATTGGTCAGGTTCTACACTGTACATTTCCAGGTTTACACCACAGCTATCATTGTTCTCTGAGTCAGAAAAGTAATTCAGTAACTGTACAAAGTAAACACCCAATAGACTTTGAAATTCATATAAACAAACAAGGGCCATTGCAAGTCAAAATATTTTATCAGTTTGCCATTATTTTGAAATAATTTTAATCATTTATAGTATAATTAACTACATGTGCTACTTGAGAAAGAAGTTGTTTGCACCCTAACAAGAGCAGCTGGCATAAAGAAGAATGAGAGGGAGGGCTAATGAGACAGGGGAGACAGAACAGAAGTGGGATGTGAAAGAGAGAAGTCAATAAGCAAGGAAACAGTCACAGGAGGGCAGGACACTCATAAGAAATCTGAGTTTGATTTGTAGGCAGGAAGAGAGAGAACATGCCTGGGGTAATATCACACAGAATAAACAGTACCCCGTTCCCCCAGGTAATGAATTGATATGGTACATTTTAAGGATTTGAGTTTAAGGTGTCCAAAGCAATCAAAAGAAGGGAGATTATACTAAGTAAAATGATCTGGGATTACAGAAAAAAAGAAAGATTATGGCTTGAAGAAATACTAAAAGAAGCATTCATTTTCTTAATAGATTGGTGTTTGCAGAAATAAAAGGTGTAACTACCCTAACTACAGTGCAAAATCCAGCCTTGAAAAGGAAGGAGTGCTAGCTGATATCGAGACACATGCTTACATGCTCACAGAGGGCTTTAAGCTTTGAAACATCCTGTAACAACTAACACGTTACAAGACTTAAAACTTCATACAGAAAACATGCATTTATATAGTTTACATGATAGGCAACAGTTCATTCTGCAATTATTAGAAAGAAATGGGAAGCTTAGAATGACAAATCCAGCTGTTTAGTGAAGCCTCCATGGGTTAAGACAAAGGAGGAATGACTCCAGAGAAAAATTCTTTAGATAAGAGTTTCCCTAATTTACAAAAACATTGCATGTCATATGATATAGGCAAGAAAATATTATGGATTTATTAATGTCTAGAAATCAGGCTGGTAGTTCTTTCCATTTTTTATGAGGCAATATCTACAGCTTTATTGAAAGAAAACTCCACCATAGAAACTGTAATGCACAACATCAGCTTTGTATAACTGTATCACTGTTGGCATAAATAAACTAACATGCAACAGAAAGGCCAGACCACCATCAGCAGCCCTAGAGTAAAGGGTTCACCAGCTGGAAATAATGCGGGATGGATACACTTGGCATAAAGCACACAGTAAATTGCACCGCACAATCAGCACCCCTCCCTTTTTCACAGTGTCAAGAATTCAGACAATATCACTAGCTCAAGCTCATGATGGAAATTCATGTGGTTGCTAGGAGAGACACAGAAACAGGATTCATTAGGGCCCTGAAGCATCTTCACAGTCCTCAACCAAAGTGAACATGTACACAATCTGTAACTGACTTCTGAACTTTGTTTTCCTGCTAGGATCAAACACTCAAGGATGCAACGAAGAGAGGAGTGCACATATTGAAAGTGGGAAGGAAAGGAATTAACAAAGTGAGGCAGAAAAGAACCTTGCTGAAGTGGGCAACATTTCTGAAGCCTGACGACGGGTGCAAAGGTGGCTGCAATTCCCTGAAGGTACCTATGTACATCACAAACTTTACCTGTCGCCTTTATGATACAAATTTCATTACTGCCTTTCTCCTTCCTCAGTTCCAACTAGTCCTGTTATTACATCCAATGGCATTTTATATAGAACTGTGCCTTCAACTAATACAAGATTATATGAGTAGCACTGAAATTAAGACACTAGTAATCTTTGAGTTCAGTCAAGATCTGACTTCACGAGGGAAGCTATACATATATTTAAGCCTTTGCAGAACTCAGATCTGTGGTTATATGCTTCCTATGACAAAGACAACTACAAACCTAACACCACCGTCTTATATAAAGACAATGAATATGGTCTCTGAGTGCCACTACAACAGTAAAATAATCTAGAAACATTACATATATACTTTGTTCCTTGAGAACAGCCATACAAAAATGCCGACCTCTAAAACAATGTCTTCACAAATTAATCTGTAAATTAACCAAGAACCCAATCTGTGTAACAAGTTTACCCATAATTGCATGGAACTAAAAAAAAACCCCCCCCACAAAAAAAAAACAAACCCGCAAAAACCACACAGAAGGTGAGGACAGGTATTCTGGGAAACAGCAAAAGTTAGAAGAGGGTAATGTAAAGTTAGAAAGGAGACTAAGTATTCATGCCATGAAATGAGTGCATAACACTAACCTTTAGAAATGCTGGAAGAAGTCTCCATTTTTCCTGAAAACAAAAAACAGTTTGAAATATCTTTCCAAAGAGTGACCAAACATCTAAGATGCTTGAGCTTTTTTGTTTGTTTGTTTTTAATTATTAGACAGCAACATTATTTAAAATCAGATCCGCTAAAAAAAAAAAAAAGACTGTCTAAAGCCAACCTAGATGAGTAGAAACAAAACAGGGAGATGAATTGCATCATCCTGGTAAGCCATACGTACTATGCCGTATTTACTCAGGACACAATGGGACATTGTCTTTTCTAAAAGCAACTTATGTGAGAATACATATTTCTTAGAAAATTCCCTACTACCATGTCCTTGTTTAAGTACAGATAACTTTTTTTTTTTCCTGTTAACACTGTAGGTTATATTCTTAGCAAGGGAAGACTTGCTACAACTTTTACTTCACAAAATACATGCAAGAATCTCAGTCCTGGGAGCAGCACTTGCAGACGTGAGTCTCTGTAAAATCTACCAGTACCCTAACTCCTACAAATATTAGCAAAACTATCTAAACAAAGTACTGACAAGTGTAAGCATATCAAGGTTCCTACAAACTTTTCCCCATTTCTATTCTTTGATGATCACAGGGAACATGACCCTGTATCAGCCCCACCTTCTCCCCCCATGGCATGGGGAGCCCACCCCACATTTGGGATGAGAGATGCAGGTGGAGGGCAAAGGCGAGGAGGACCAGACAGCGCAGAATGAGGCTGCATCACCTAGATCCAGAAGAGAGTACACTGTGGTAGTCACAGAGCATCAGCAGCTCATCGTCTTAGTTTGACACAGCATTTAGAAGTACATGGCAATGCTGTAGTTGTGGTGTAACGTTGCCCCTCACAGTGCAGGAGCACGTAGAGGAATTCATGGCAAAGCACAGCATGGGGCTCTCGGGCTCCATGTCTGACACGCTCTTTCTACACAAAAAGCCCAGTCCAGCCAAAGAGACCTGAAGCACGGCCTTCGTCTCCTCCCTCTCCCCACGCGAGGCAATTAGCAACCTTTAAAGGAGCCGCCGCCGAGGACAAACACCTCTTTGCCCGTGTTTGCAGGATACAGGCCGGGCAAACACAGAGGACGGCGGCCGCCCCTCAGGAGGGCGAGCTCAGCTCCCTGAGGTACAGACCCGCCTCGCCCCGCCGAGAGGCGCCGCGCATGCGCCGTAGACCCCCCCGCGCCCACCTGCGCAGGCAGGTGGGGGCGCTCTGCGCATGCGCGGAGAGAGGTGGTCTCCTTCCACCTCACCTCAGCTCCCCCCAGCCCCGCTCCCCTCCGGGAGGGCCCGTCGCCCCCCGCTGCCGCCCGCCCGCCCGCCCGCCGCTAACCTCCACCGTGTTCACAGGAGCCGCCGCTTGCTCCGGAGTCAGAGCCCCCAGCTCCGTGGCCAGCGCCTCCATCACCAGCCCGGCAGAGAAGCCGCAAGGGAGGCTGAGGGCGAGGGACCTGCGGTGTAACAGCTAAACGCGTCCTCCCGCCGCACCGGCCCGGCGCCCAAAGGTTCCGGGCCCACGGAGCCCTGGTGGGGGTGAGTACAGGCACCCCCCTACAGACACAGACACAGACGGCAACGGGGCGGAGGCCGGGGGCTCTGCTAAGGCCGGTCAGGCCTCTCCCTGCCCGGCCGGGCTCTCCAGACCGCCCCCTCCCAACGCCCTGCCTCCTCGTAGGGGTCTTTAATACCTTCCTGCGTTTGGGGGTTTCCCCCCTGAATCCCTGAGCTGGTAACCGCCCCGGCAGCCATAACCCGCCCCCCCACCGCCGGCAGCAGGCAGGCGGGGGTGAGAGAGGAGGGCGCGGAGCAATTAGGGTACAAACTGGGTTTTTTTACAATTTTTAGCACGCCAAGGAGCGCGGAGGATAAGCTTTTAGCATTACTGTTGTCTTTTTCCGATCTTAGTGTTGAATGCTGTAGCTGGATCACCTACAAACTGACTCTTTTTTTTTTCTTTTAAGTGTCAGTGCTATAGAGACACCAAAATCTCAGTCAAATAGAGGACTACTCATCTTCTCCAGTTGAAGATTAAACATTAGTGATCTTTGCACGTTCCTGTGGCAGTAAATTTTTGCCAGGTCACATATCGTAATTGCTAAGTACATTTTAAAAGCGGAGTGTGAAAACAGTACTTGGACATACATCTGCTCTGGCTCAGATTCTGCATCAATAAAGTTCAAAGAGTTTGCTCTGGGCTCCACACATCCTGGACACAAAGGCCCATGTTAAACATGACAGTAGCAACATTTCAGACCACTTCCATTCAGTTTGCTGCCTAAAGCGGACAGTCAGCCTGGAGAGTTTGTTTAATACATGGCAATCTTAGAACATCCTACATGGCCTTCCATCTAACTAACTACATGCACACCAAGCAACTATTTCAGTCCGATGACCCACTACCCTGCAATGTGGTCCATCAGCTGCAGTTGGTATGTAATTGGAAATCATGATTACTTCCACAATAGAAAACTATCATAAATTAAAAGTGGGAGTTAGAGGATTAAGAGTTCCTTCTTACCTTTCCAAACCAAGCACCTGTTAGAGTTTGGTTAAGTTCTTTGTTCATTTTTTTTATTACTGTCACTTACAGGAAACCTAAGCTCTATCAGACAGGACAAGCTTTCAGACATAAGTTTACTCCAAAGTCAGCTACTCCAAAATGTTTGTTCCTACTACATTAGGTAGTAATGTAATTAGGCTAATTAGAGTAAGGTAATGAGAAATAAAACCAAATCTTACAAAATACCTTCCCTCCACCCCTCCCTTCTTCCCAAGCACAGCTTCACTCCTGATTTTCTCTATCTCCCACCCACCCACCAGCAGCACAGGGCAACAGGGAGTGGGGGTTGGGGTCAGTTCATCACATATTGTCTCTGCTGCTCCTTCCTCCTCAGGGGGAGGACTTCTCACTCTTCCCCTGCTCCACTGTGGGGTCCCTCCCATAGGAGACAGTTCTCTACCAACTTCTCCAAAGTGGGTCCTTCCCACAGGCTGTAGTTCTTCACAAACTGCTCCAGCATGGGTCCCTTCTACGGGGTGCAGTCCCTCAGGCACAGACTGCTCCAGCGTGGGTCCCCCGTGGGGTCACAAGTCCTGCCAGCAAACCTGCTCCAGCGTAGGCTCCTCTCTCCACGGGTCCACAGGTCCTGCCAGGAGCCTGCTCCAGCATGGGCTTCCCACGGCATCACAGCCTCCTTTGGGCACCCACATGCTCCAGCGTGGGGTCCTCCCCAGGCTGCAGGTGGAGATCTGCTCCACCGTGGACCTCCCTGGGCTGCAGGGGGACAGCCTGCCTCACCGTGGTCTTCTTCCCCACAGGCATCTCTGCTCCAGTGCCTGGAGCGCCACCTCCCCCTCCTTCTTCACTGATCTGGGGGTCTGCAGGGTTCTTTCTCTCACATATTCTCACTCCTCTCTCTGGCTGCAGTTGCACAGGTGTGTCCCCCCCCTTCTTAAATCTGTTATCCCAGAGGTGCTACCACTACCAGTGATGGGCTCAGCCTTTGCCAGCAGCAGGTCCATCTTGGAGCCAGCTGGCATTGGCTCTATCAGACATAGGGGAGTAGGTTCTAGCAGCTTCATATCAAAATCTTGCCATGCAAACCCAGTACAACCTTCTTCCAAGGAGTCCAATTTCAGCAAGTGACTGTTTTGCATGTTATTTGTGCAGCTGGATTAAAGTCACTACTCTAACACTCCAGCTGCAACTGGGAAGTTACAGAAAAAGAAGAGAGTCACAACGTATTATTAGTGCAGTCATTTATCTTCGGCATTTAACAATCCATTACATTTAAGCAAGTTTGCATAAATGACTTTTCACCACCAGTGGTATCACAAACAAAATTTAATGCATACAAAACCTCAAATATTTGTATTTCAACAAAGAAAGCTGCTACAGAATGGCATCTTGTTTCACAAGGACAACTTCAGAATAGAGGCAAGTACGTTTCAGCCACGGTAGCATAAACAGCATGCAACACATGACATTAAACAGATGCAGTGTCCATGTTTGAAACATTAAATAAAAATTAAGATACATTAAACAATCACTTGAAACATAGGCCATGCTATAAAATGCCCTTTGCAAGTCACCTTAAAAATCATGAAAAAAACCCAATGAATCCTTATTTTTTGAGTATTTACTGGTAAAAACTAGTATGACAGTTTCCCCAGTACATTAAAGATCTATAGTTTGATACTTTTTACAATAGAATGCATATAAAGTATTACGATAAAAAGTTCATAATCATGTTATAAATCATGTTCAAATGTTCATAAAATCCTCTTTTCGCTGAAGCTCAAAATAGTTTAGGTATTTCTAAAGATGTAGCAAATCACTAAGATTTAATTCCCCATAATTGCTTTTGAAATGCATTCTTTTGATGATTTTGAATTGCAGATCAAAATTTCATATTCATCTGAGAAAGCCTGTTGTACCTAGTGGCACAATTACTATATTCTAAGAGTTCCTTTCTCTCAGGTTTTTCAGGCTTCAGGAAACAGTTCCCTTTAAAATACATATTCACCTTTCTGTTGTGCAATGTTTTTACAAGGGATAAAGCAGAAGTGCACTAGAGAAATTTATTTTCTAAAAAGGCATTTTGAAGAAAGTTTTTCTTATCACGTACATGTGACCAAAGTCCTTGGACACTGAGGAACAACTGACTTGAAGTCACTTCCCTTACTAAAAAGAGTACACAATTCTGTAAAAATGGACTACAAAACCACAGTGCTAATAATGCCCAGGTTTTTAGACCTTTATGATAGACATAGTAATGTACATACGGTTTGTGTAACACATTAAGCTTTTATGGGCAATTCTTTGTCTCTTCATAAAAATAGTTTGTAATATAAAATATTAAAAACAAGCTGTATAACTTGTACCACATGAAGTTTTTATATATATGACATTTTTAAAGGACTATTATATGGTAATATATTAAAAGATCATTTTCAAGTAAATTATGATTCAATTTCAAAGACAAGAACATGTCTATAATATGTATTCCAGCAGTATCTATTCCCAGTAATCTGAAATATGCAAAATAAAGCCTGTGTAGACTTACAGAAATTTACTTCCACATTTCTCAATTTCAAGCCTAATCGTTTTCTGTATGCAAGATTCCTGTTGCCTTAAGTGGGAATTAAGTATTGGGGCCTATTCCAAAGGAATTTGAAGGAAACTGCAGTATTTCTCACAGATTCAGCAAAAGTGAATCTAATCACATTTTCAAGAATGACTAATCATTTGGGTTCTTTCTTTCAGACCCAAGAATATGTTTTGAAAAGCTTATGCCCTCATCCAACAGAATATAAAAGGGGAAGTTGCTCTATAGTACTCTGTAAGGTCACTCTCAAGTGCTTTTGGGAATAAAGGTCAGAAAGACCTAACTTAACAATACTTAATACCCATTAAGATCAAAGATCAGTACATACACATATTAGGGATTAGATTTAAGATCTGTATGACCTTCACTAAATAAACAAAATGTTTATAAACATTATATACAGAAATTTACTCCACTCCCCTGCCAACATCATGTTTCTTAGGTGTTTATCATTAATCTCAATTACAGTTGAGAAGTTCTGAATGATTCCTACTGTAAGTGGTGAATGCTTCTTCTGTAACTGCTATACTCCCAACAGCTTCTAATACTGGCATTCCTTAACATAGCAAAGGCTAAGTTCTGGTTCCAGTAATTGCAAGAGTACCAGAACTTGGCCTAGTATGAACCTGGTTTTGGTTACAAAAGCAGTTATGCTATACTTTTTTTCCTTCAAAGTCTTTTCAGAAACATAACTGTTTTATTACATGTTGCTCTACAAAAATACAATGTAAGCATAGTACATTTTATCTACAATTGTTTTGTCATTTCATAATTGCATTGCTATATGTAAATATATTTAAGTTGAAAAATAACATTAAGTTTTAATGGTGGTAAACAGTAAGTACTTTGCCAGCTCTTTCCCACTGCAAATCGTAATAGATGCTTGCCTTGAAAACTAATAATTCACTGGCTATTACAAGTGACATAATCCATTAAACAAATTTAGTCTATTAAAATATATATGTCCTTGAAATGAATTTCTTTCCAGTGAATTGCAGAAGGTATCTGCATACATTTTACAAAATCTCTCTCATTAATAGTCACTGGAGTGGGCTGTTCTTAGTGGGGAAGTCAGATCACTGTCTTGGAAGGTAAAAAAGGGGTACAGAAATAGGTCATAGTTTTTAAGTGGTAGGTGTTTCTGTTTCTGCTTTCCCCATTGGTGCCTCAGGAAAAAGTAGTTTTCTAAGTATGTTTGCATAGAATGGTCCATACACCTGTTTGTTAAAGTTTACAATGCTTGCATACTGAGATCCAATGAACTCCATCTCCGTCTGAATCACAGAGAGGCCTCCTGGCATAGTAGGCATAGACTTCTGAAAACTTGGAAGAGCAAGCAAACTTCTCATGAAGAACTGGATTCGTTTGTCTGAAATGGAATACGAAGTATGCTCAGAACAAATGTAAACCCAGGATGAAGCCATACTTGCTTTGTAAGCACCCTGCACATCAGCACAGGAAAAAAAAATCCAACAATGTAGGTAACTACTCTTTCCCAATCCCATGTTGTAGTGGGAAACAATACTGAAAGCTTCTTAAAGTTGGTTCCTCCAAGGTGGACACAGCATAAGCCTGCTGTAACAAGTTACATTACCTAATATGAAGTAAGACTCAAAGAAAAATAAAACCCACTAAGATTAAACACAGAACTGACAGAAGGGAGACTGAATAGTACTCATTTTTCCAAATTCTTCTCCAAAATACTAGCACGTCTAGCCTTGTTTGTACAGACACTTTTAAAATTATTTCTAGCTATGACTAACCATGCTCTGCAGCATACCAAGAACACCATCTATAGGTAAACAACATCTCCTTACTCTTAGTTGACCCAGTATTTTACTGCAGTAAGGAAGTGTTTAAAAATAATTTAGACAGCTGATTAAGCTTGCTGGGGTTAAGTTTATATACAGACACATATGATAAGACAATCATGTATTATCTTACTAACCAATCAAGGAACTGACGGGATTATTCTCCTCAACAATATGAGCGATTTGACCCATTAAATTACTCTGCATTTCTTCATTAAGAGTGGGAAGACCTCTTTCAGTTAGAGACCTGTTCACTTTGCTGCAAATCTGGACACCAATAGCATTCAGAGCCTCCTTCAAATCAAAAGTTCTGGAAGAAAGAAATAGAAAAGTGTTAACTTTCGCAGTTTCTGTAGCATAGGTTGTAAGGCAACCTCACTTGTCTCTTTTCCCTTTTATTTTCAACCTGCTCTCTGTAATGAGAGAGTTTAGAAAAGTTATCTTTTGCTTTTGGAGATTCATGTACATCTCCAGATACAGGACAAATCTCCACATGGAAGATAAAATAACGACCCAATTGTGATTCAAACAGGAAAAATCGTTTCAAGAGTGCAGCAGTGACACCAGTTCATTTTGCTCATATACTTAGGCGTTTTCCTGGGCCACATGCACAGCATTTCATTAGAAAAAGCAGAGTGGAAAACTATTTTATGAGACACCTTTCAGATCCCATCAGACTTGCTTGTAATGCAAGTGGCAGCAGAACCTACCTACCACAAGTTTGAAGCAACTGGCAAGACAATTTAGTGAATGTATTGCCACAGGCTCTCCAATATTAGGAGTGTATGAATGAACTTTAGTACTAGGCCCCAAATTCTGTAGACTAACATCAAGACTAAGATTTCATTAAAATGTAACTTTGAAAACATGTGCCTAACATACAGTAGACTTATACTGTAAAGGGAATATAGATTATTAAAATTTGTTATCTTCCTACTATTAACAAGCACCGACTATGATATTTGAATTGTTTCCAAGGGTTTTCAGATCCATCTGGTACTCCCTGTTAAAAAAAAATTATGAGAAGTGATAAAAACAAGGCCTTACTTCTTGTTCATGCCTTCAAGAAGAGGAACAGAGATCCTTTTCAGTTGGTCAGCAAAATCAGGCACATCTACAATTGCTGCACCCACCATATTGTTTGTTATGAGACAAACACAAGCTATGATTTTTAATTGATTGAGCTTTTCTCTCAACTCCTGAAGACGAACTTCATCTGTTATTAGAGTCTAGAATTGAAACAATAATACTAATTTAGGAATACGGAGGGAGAGAGGCAGGTAAAAGGGCATATATAGGATGTAGTCATGAAGCATTAATATTTTCAATCACAAATATGCAAAGTCAGAAGGGACAGCAGCTGAAGTACCCCGAATATGTAGTATTGCACAAAGTGGCACTATGTATGAGTACCAGAAGTAAGTCTGTGGCAGCAAGAAAAGTAATGCCTTCAGTGCAGAGGAAATTGAGGACACTGCACCTTATTCCTCATCACTGCTCACAAATCTGCAACCAACAATTCAGCCCATGATGTGGAACGCTCAGGGGATCTGGAGGACATTGTCATGATCAAGGTTACAGACAGAATAGTCTTCTGGATTCAGCTGTCCTTTGAAAAATGCCATAATCTGTAACTGATAGACAGTGATGAACAACTGTGCCTGACAACCACCAGTTCAATCACCAGAGCAGGTTCTGCAAGTGATACGTAACCTGCTACCAGCAAAAAGCCAGTTGATCATACCAAGAATCTAAGTAATTCCCACAGCAAGATGTAGCTGGAGTGACTTGTTTTAGGTTAGAAAGAGTTCATCCTAACCACATCCCTCTCCTAAGAAGCACAGGGGCATTAACATTCAACTGTTTGGTAGTAATTTCATAGCATGACAAACTAGATCCACCAGAGGATACCTGTGTGTAACTCCTATTCAAATCTGTTTGAAGGAAGGTAAGAATAAGGTGGTTTCCCTTCCATCCACTGACCGAGAGCACTAAAGCATCCCCATGTATTTCGCAAATTCTCTGCCAGGCCACCCTAAGTATAGCTAAGGCACCCACTGCGGATGCTAATTTTAGCCCTGACTGATGGCCAATTTCAAATTCACTTTATGGAAAGTTGCAGCAGTCAGTAATCAGGAGTTGGAGGGAAAAAACTGAACACTGATTCTTGAAGCAATAGTTTACATGCACTGAGAAAGGGTGAATATCTACTCTGAGGGCTTCAAGTTTTTACTGATCCTTTCCTAACATGAGAGTGATCCCACCAATTCCTGCTGCTTTTAGGAAAACAGGATGCTGTAGTCAGTTCTCTCAAAGATACAGACAGCCAAGTGCTGTCAGTACAAGGCCCAGCCTTTGACCATGGCCAAGACTGCTCTTAGGGTGGAGCTAGTGAGCTATGATTGGATAGAGGGAAAACAACCTTTAGGTCGGTCTTTTCTAGCTGTTCACTTGCCCATCTCATATTTCAGAAACTAGACTAGCATATACTCTCCAAATTCCAAATTTACTATTCAGAAGTTTAAGCAGTGCAAGAGAATACTTCACCTATTGTCATCAGTAGCAGGATTATTATACTACACCAATGTTTTTATATAGCTAGAGATCTGAAGACACTGAAATACACTTCTTACCTCTGGAATTGTTTTGCGATAATCCCATTGTAACAGTTTCAAGTAGCCGTTGTTTAGCACCAGTGTAGGACTAATAGTTGGTTTAGAACTACTATCAGCACCAGGGGATGATGAAGATTCATCAGAAATAGATGACAATTCATCTTCTATTGATTCCTTTATCCATTCTGTTGTGAGATCCAGGGCACCTAAGCATTGCAAATCAGCAGAAATTTAGTGCACACTTCCATCAAAATGAGCACTAGCTTGAGGGAAAGATTTGTGCACAAACAAGAGTACTGAACTTCTGAAGACTCAACAAACATAGTGGACAGCTGAGTCTTCACACACGTAAATTGTCTCCCTCACTTTTTTCCACTGAGCATCTTCCATTGGTCACCTTAGTATTCTAGCTAGCTTGTACAAACCCAACAACAAATTGTTAGACTTCAGCCAAGATTTTGGGGTAAAAAAAGCTTCAAAGTCCAAGTTCACAAAGCATTTTTTTCCCCTTTTTCAGGGAGGCCACTTAATAGTTGGGGCACAGGACTGAAAAGTGGAGGTGAAGGGAGATACACTGTATTGACTGCAAATGAAATGCTTTTAAAGAGTTCTTTCTCAGGCTGTATATATAAACATTGCAGGCTGAATCAGTGGCTCAGGGTTCCCATTTTAGAAGCCCCTGTTTCAGATGTTAGTAAGTTTACTTTTTCTTCTTGGAAAATATATTCTCCTGAGCACTGTTTAGCCATATAATACAAAACCTGTAATAGTGGATCAAGTTGACTTTGCATCACCTAAGTTTTCCTCAGAGCCTACCTTTTCTTTATTAAAAAAAAAAAATAAAAAAAAAATCAATCCTGTCCCTTACCAGCTTTCAGGCACACTAACTGGTTTTACATGTTTACTTCAGACTAAAAACAGACTCACTGCGTACAAAAGACATAGTCTCATCCTTCAGTATGCAGGGCTTCTGCTTCGAGATGCTAAGAGCCATTGTTTATTTTTCAGATACCAACCAATTTAGAAAATACAGATTTGTCTGAAAGCACCCCAGATTACAAAGAAACATACTTCATAGCAAGTTAACCAATTGCCCATTGGTAGCTTGTCTGTCAAATAATTTTTGCATTAGATCCAGACAAGAAATTGAAGTTTTTCTCCAAATTACCTGCCACTGATAGATTTTAGAGCACATCTTTAAATAGTCCACTTTTTAAAGAAAGGTTTAAATTAAATACAGCATGATACCTACTTGGTGTTTCTTCAAGGATTTCCTGAAATTTTGTTCTTTCATAGTCCACCAAATTACGCTGAAGGTATGGCCTAAGGTTTTGAATTGTGTAATTAGCCATATCCACTTTCATCAGGTCCAAAACACGGAATATTTGTCTGAAAGGAGGAGTTTAAAATTCAACAGTTACAATAGCCCATTGATTTTAACCACCACATGCAAGGCACACCTATATCAGCACTTTAATTTCAATTCTAGGAGAAGTAAACTCCTTCATTGGTATTTCAGTGTAACAGGTATATTACCTGTCTTCCAGGATATCTGAAGGAGTATTATTTATAAGGCTTGGTATAAGTTATAGAGAACAGGATAAATATGTAGCATCACTAAATGCTATGACCCCGTAAAAGAAAGATAAGGGTTTTCAAGAACTGTATCAATTGGTACAGTTCAGCCTAAATGAACAGATTTTAATTTTTTAGTCACTCCAATTGCACCAAGAGAAACAATTCTTCTAACCCAGTTGCTTTGGTTCCTGTATATGATCCAAACTCCAATAAAACAGGAGAACAACTACCATTTACTATTTCAGTGTACTGAGGAGTAGTAAACTGTTTTCTGCCCTTTTATGCAAATATTTTATTCAAGTAATAAGATCTTAACTAAAGAGATTTAAAATACAAAGTTCGGCCTCCTAGAGGAAGCATGCAATAAACAGTTCGAGAAGGAACAGTACAAATGTGCTGCTTAAATTTTGTAAGGATGAACAAGACTGAAAAAGCAGTCTCTGAAACACAGATTATTGCAAGAGTGCTTTATTTTGTTGTTCAGTGCCTTAGATACTCACAGCTGGCAGTGTCTGATGTAGGCATTTTACCCATTTCATTAAAAAGATACACATAATATTCTGGTCACAGTGTGTCATAGCTCCTCCCCTTTAGTGCTTCTATATAAAAATAAGTTTTCCTATAATTTGAAAACAGGTGTTATGTAAACTGACACAATTTAAAACTTCCAAGACTTTACCTCCCTCTTCTACTACCTAGTACTCTTTCAGAAAAGAGGTTTCTCCCTCTAAAAAACACCCAAATACCAACCTCAGTAATTCTACGATATTGTCAGTTGCTTTTAACTGTTTTATATCGTTGTCTCTTACTGGAGCACATAACTTTCCCATAGTGTTGATGATATAGTTAGCTAGCCCATGAATATCAACAGCATTATGTTCTGCCTGCTGTCTTATCAGATCTGTATCTAGAACTTCACAAATTTGATTGTGAATCCTGTTTGCTCCAGGAGTCAGGAAGGAAAGAAGAATCTAAAATAGAAGGTAGGAAAAAAAAAAAAGGAAAAGCTTATCAATAAAAACCAAACCACTTAGCAAACACTCTGAAGTAAGATTTTAGTATTAACGTCAAGTGTATGTAGCTGACCAGCTATAACAAGACATGTTAAGACTGAACATTATCTAAGGTACCAGGAAAAAAGGACTGTTAAAAGGATCACAGCACAGTTCTGCAAAAATGCTCAAAGCCAGCAAGCCAGAAAGCATGTCAACAATGAAACTCTTCCAAAAACTGGGAAGCTGCCCTGTAAAACAAACATTTATAACTTAAATTTTTTGAAAGACTTAGTATTGTGCCAGGACTGAAGGTCTGTATGCTCCCTTGTGCAACAATCAAAGTCTACACGGGCAGGTGCAGTCACATTTATACTCCTGTTCATGCCCTAAGCTCACAGTATGTTGCTAGAAAGATGCTAGTAGAGATTTCAGCTTTGAGAAAGGAGAGGTCTTGTAACTAGCTGTCATGCAATGAAAGCTGAGTGGACATGACACTGTGCATTCATGGCCATATTCACAGTTAATATAAATATACTATAAGACACCTATTTGCAGTTCTGAATAATCACAGTTTCATCTTGAAAGAACGAACTTGAAGGTGATGGCTTGACTGAGTTAGCAGACCCTTCAGTGAATTAAGAGACACTCGTACCTAAGCTGACACAAAAAAAATACTGGGGCACAGGGGAGGAGGAACATTACCTCCTTAATTTCCTCAAAGAGCTTGATAGCATGTTCATATTCTGGAGGATCTTCATTCAGTTCCGATTCCAAATGATCCCAAAACGCCTTGTGTACAATTTGTTTCACTGTGCCTGCGAAGCTGTGGAATAAGTCAATTAGATACAGAAAAGACTCCCAGCTAGCTTTCATCCTTGGCAGAAGTGTTTTAGATTAGGCTGATCGCTTGTTGGAAACACGCACCTCACCAGCTATTGTGCCCTGCAACCATATCTTTCTTGGGCTGTGGATCATCAGCTTCCAAAATGTGGTCTAGACTGACAAGTCTTTCCTAAAACACCTGTATTTTATAAAGTGGTCCTGGCAATTCAGATGTAAGGTTCCTTACTGAATTTATATTCATTGTCCTAACCTGGCATGTTGTGTACTAAGCTTTCCCAAAAACTATTCTGTCATATAACCAATTATCAGTTAAGGGACTTAAGCAATTAAAAACCTGTGGTTTTTTTAACCTAAGTTTTCTCAAAGTAAAGACCAGGGTCATTTTTAAAATGGACATGTCTGTAAGCAAGAACATTTTAGCTACCTACATTAGGGAAGTTACTTCTCACTTCCTCTGGATCTCCAGGTATTTCTGCATCTCTTCTGGGCCTAATATTAGAGATATGTTCATGATGAGCTCTGTCTTCTTAGCACTAATGGCACCAATGCACTGCTACATACAACTGCATAGGTGGCCACCATTTCATCTTTTCCACAGGGCTTGGAACTGCACAGAACAGACTGATACTCATCTTCACTATGGGCATTCATATTACATTAGCCTTCTATCTTCCACATGACATTCAAGACAGAGCAATATACTCCAGGACAGTGTATCAGCTCAGCTGGACTGCAACCCTTGTTCCAAGCAAGACAGCTTTGACAGTGGCTCCTGGAGGTGCAGGATAAAAATCCATAGCCTTCCAAGATGGTTTGGGTTGAGGGTTTTTGGTTGGTTTTCTTAATTTGCTGCTTCATTCACTTTTCTCTTGCCCAGCCCCAGTGCTGCTTTTTGCAAAATTCAGGCTCTTACCTGTTCTGTGGGAAGTCTTCATGTTTTATGCAAAAATTTGCATTTACAGCAATTTCATGAGCTAGAGTCAAGTCTGTCAGATTTCTTGCAGCTGCCATCAGTTCATCAAATGTAATAACAGTCTTGGGAGGGCTTGCTGCTGGAACAAACAAGATCAATTCAAGCCAAATACCTATAGTTGATAAGTGCAATTGAAAATATTAAAATTTCTAAATTTTACTGCTTGCTAATTGGACTCTAGTACTCTAGAAGAAACAACCTAGGATTACCAGGTCTTTATATCTTCTTAAAACACCATCTCAGGGAACTCCCAGCTTATCAGGGGGGTGTGTGTGTGTGTGGGTAATACCACACAAACCTCATAACATTTTGAGGAGCAATTTCATATTTCTGCATCGTAACTAAGGTATCTTCTTTTCCTTTGAAACAGGATCTTGCATTCCATAGATTTCCTATTGACTGTTCTGTAAGATCCACCAGATCAAAAGCATGGGCAATAACAGATACCAGATGTCCATTATAATTCCGAGCACACAATGGCTATATTGTGGTTTTACTGCCTGTAGAGAAGGTTCTGAAGTTACTGGCTTGAGAACCCCCCACTTGTATTCCATAGCAGATGCACCATAAGTTATACTCCCTTTTTACAAATAAGTATTAACAACATAACAGAAACTCTACACTGGAAAGCAAGCGTAAATTCCCAAGGTTTCTAAACACCCAAATTCTGTCATTTAATTTAGTATTTGGAATTAAGCCTTTGAAGACTGGTAAGAAAGAAAGACAAAGAGCCAGCTGCCAATTGCAGCTCCGCTAACAAGCTTGTTTTAATGTAAGACTTCACTTACATAGACGCTAAAAAGTATGCATGGTCTGAGAATGCTTACAGATGTGAACATGAAGCACATCTTAACCAAGGTTTTATTTATCATTACTCAAAATACCTTCCTTGTGCAAACGTGTGTCTTCTGTTTGATCCTAATATTTATGGAAGAGAAAAGTGTGAATTTCAGATTAATTTCATGTAACTTGATGTAAATACTATAAATCTGTAAGTTACAGATTTAATTTTTAAGTGTATGGAGCAAACAGAAGAAACCCACCCTTTGCACAAAGCTGTATCTGTTTGAGTGGGAGACTGCTACCAACATCAAGATTAGCTCAAGATTAGGACGTCCATGGTGGCACACTTTTCTTACAGTTTCTGAAGGGAAGGAGTGCACAGGGAGACCCCCACGGATACAGCTGCTGGTGGCGTTCCGCACACAAGGAGACACACTGCTTCACAACAGAGAGAAAGTCATGCCTTTCTCTTAATACTCTTAAACAGAGATTCAGAATCCCAGGTTCTACCCATGACAGCAAAAAGAAAAGATAAGTTAGCCTTATCTGTTTATGCACAATGCAGGTAAGGTTGAAGTAGGCTTACACGCTGGGGAACTGGGTTTGCTTGAAGAATCACTGTTAAAGCTCTGTCTTGAATATTCAGAGTCGCTAGAAGAAGCTGTGCTTTCAGAGAGGCGTGAAGAATCTGAATCACTGTTCTGGTCATCATTGAGAGGCATTCTGATTCACTTCAGCTGCTACAGTAAACAACCTGGAAAGACAAATACACTTCCTGTAAAACAAGCACTTACTATTTTCTTGCTCATTTGTTTCTCAAAAGTCAGATACCGATCATTATATTGTGAATGAAGAACAATAGTTGCCTTTCTTAAAAAGGTGTTACAGAAAGGATCTAGCTTGACATGCAAATCATACAGTTATTAACAAACTACACCTGTTCCGCAAGAAAGTTTTGTACCTTCTGCTGTTTCATTCCTTAATGGTTATGTTGGAGACAGTCTGTAAATTGGTTATATTTAAAAATAAGACTGCCCACAGTAACCCCTAAAGTTGCTTGTTGTCAGAATTTTGGAAGTTCTCAACATCCATAAAGGCACCTCATGATGTTACCATCCCCCACCTGACTTCACCAACAAGTGATGTTTAGCAATTAGCTTCCTTCCACAAACAGACTACACTGAGTGTAACAACTCTTAAGCAAACACAGAAGTGCTGGGGGAGAACAGGCAAATAATTCAGAAAACTACATTTCTGACAGGGTGTAGCTGAAAGTCTGGCCTGCTGCTTTAGGTGGGTCTTTACTCAGAATCAGATCAACAATGGCATAGACCCAAAAAATACTCCTCCTAGGGGTGAGGGTGGATGGGTTTTCTGTTTTAAGTCAAATGGTAACTCTGAGCCTCTAACATTACATTCAGCATAGAGGACAAATAACACTGAGAGGTGTCATGCTTCACAGTGCTTCTGTCTACATAAAGAAACTGCCTCCCAGGCAGATAATCTGCAACTGCAGAGAATTTGGACAGCTGCATAGTGCGATAGAGATGATTAATAGTTGTATGACAGGAAGTGAAAAATATGTTCATAATCATATTAAAATGAGAAACTGGAAGTCAGCCATATTTACCACCAAAGGAATTTGGCCCAGATACCAAAAGTAGCTGCCCATCTTTGATTATGGCCACGAAGCATTCTGTACTAGACTTTACAAAAAGACATAGCCAACAATGCTTTTCATCAGCAAATTTAAGTAATAAAACCTCATTTATGATTAAATTGCATCAACTTCAGCAGGCAAGGAATACTACACTTGGCAACTACTGAACTTTGAAAAAGCCACTTTTGGCAGCAAAAGGATGATCTTTGTGTGTACTTATGTGAACAACATATTGTGGGGTCAAGAGATAGACAAAAGGGAATAAGAATGAAGATTTCTTTATACTAGCGCCTAGTTACAGCTTCGAGCATTTGATTTCTTGGGTACCAGCTCATCCTGAATAAGCCTTTATAACTTGATGAGGTATTACACTGATGAGTACTCCCCTGTTAACTGAGATGATTAACATTTGTTAAGCGTATGTTTACCCCTCCTCCTCTCCCAAGAGGAAAGAGGATGTATTTGAGTCCTTATTTATGTAATGTTTTATGCTGGGTTTTGTGAAAAGAATTAATCACTTCAGCAAGAGCACAGCCGACAGTTTATTACTTTACTGGAGAAGCTGGTAAGAGAGACTTTTGATCAGGACATAGAGGTCACGGGTTCAAGACTTAAAGCATTAGTTGTGATCCTTAACATCGTAACTCTTATTAGAACAGCAATTTTATAATTTCTAACAAGCAACTGAAAAGACGCAGGTATTTAAAATAGTATTGACTAAACAAGACTGAGAGTTGCAAGACAACCTAGAAAACCAGGAGGCCGAGATATTTTTTACCTGGAAATTGTATTTGTTTAAGTTACAATTAGAAATGAGTCACTAGTTAATGTTACACAAGACACTAAAACTATTTCTTTGATTAAGATTAGTGTTACAGATCTCAAAGCTAGCACTGACTAGAAACTAGTTGTGATGAGTAACCTAACTGTAGAATGTGCTCCAGGTTCTTGATGTGGAACCGCTCACTTAAATACAGTAACCCTACAGAGCCTGCAAAGCTTTTATTACGCTCCCGCTATTGTTTCTGGATCAGCATCAGAACACCGTATTTCCAGGCTTTAATCATGTCTAAAACCCCTTTATTTATATATAACTAACCTCTGAAAGGTTAATGTTGCATGTGGTCCATTGAAAGAATTGATTAACGTTGTTAGCAGTGCACTGACCCAAAAGATCTTGTAAATCACTCGCCTAGTAAGAGCGCTTCAAGATGTGTCTGCTGCTTGAGTCTAGGTGTTAAGAACATGGAAGAAATTAAATTACATTAAACACCCCCCAAATTCTCACACAATTTACACATCATCATTTCAATAACTTCCTCTTAACTGTCAGTATAATTCTAATAAATATTCAAATTTGCAAGGTGCTCCTCACAGAAGTACTAAACCAGCCATGGGGGCAAGTCAGCATTGCCATTTTGTACCCCAATCTTGATTCCCAAGACCAAATCTTTAAGGTAGAATTTTAATTTCTGTATACATTAAGTCTTTACATACTCGTCCCAGGATCTTTCAGCAACAAATAACGTGCATTTCAAAGAGGCCCAGGACATATTTTGATGTATCGAGACCATGCCTGTTCCTACAATACATGCACACGTACAGATAGCAGACTTGTCAGTAGAGTGCTTCAGAAGGCTTAATTTAAATAAGAATTTTCAACAATACAACAAGAAATGATACACTGAAAAAACACTGCAATCTTTGCCACAGTATATGTATTTCCTAGTAGGATGCCTCAAATGGAATGGTAAGGAAGAATGGGTGTATTCTGGAGATTCAGAACATTATTGCTGAATTCTAAGTTTAGAAGATAAACAAGGCAGCAAGCACATCAAAGTAAACATACGTGAATACACAAGCAGAATCCAGACACGCTATCTACAGTTTTTAAATATGCTGCCTGACAGCTAAAAGGCTTAGAGAAAAGTACATTCACTGAGCATATCAAAGGGAAGCACAAACCAAAAAAAGGCTTTTCTAATTAGTTACAACAATAAACAACCAAGTTCATACTTTCGTTGTAGCATAGACTGGAAGAGCTGCTTTTCCTTATGCTTTTGTAAACAGCATAGAGCTTCTCATAAATTACTAAGGACCAAGTTCACATGTAATTCTAAGTTTAGATTAATGTCATTCTGAAGTAAAAATATTTCAGAAGCCCTTTAGCCTTTCAAGATCTCTTTGTAACTCACCATCTTGAATAGACAATACCATCTTCTTATTTTTTGAGTTGTTCATTAGGTATTACATATTAGGCTGTTGTTTTAATACACAGTTAATATCCTACCTATTCTATTAAAGGGTCAGCCTGTGGTTACAACCTGCTTTACTCTTCCTGCATTAAAAAAATCCGATGTCTGCTTTTATATTAGGTTGGATACCTTGACAGTAGGCTTCATTACACTGTTTGCTTTCTTCTGATCAGTACTATTCTGCAGTTTTTTAAGGATAAACTCTAAATGGGACACCGAGCTAAAAAGTATTTTCTAAACATACAAACCCCAAGATTCCAGTTAATTTAAGAACCATATTGTCATGGTTTCTGCTGCAATTTAGACAGTTTTGGATTATTCTTCTTAGTAACAATGTAATGAATGCAACACTGTAGATGCCTAAAGGCATCTTGCTTTTATACAGTCACATCACCCAACCCGATCATTCACTTAGAAATGATCAAGATTGCAAGATCAGATTAGTTTTAGAGAACACAAACACGCCTTTTATTCCTGAAGGCTTCCTTTAGAAGTTATTTTATGAAGCACCTGTGGGAAAAAAAAAAGACGGTTTGGAAGGCTTTTTTTTCCTTCAGATACCATCTTCAAGAAAAGTTTTTCCACAGCCCTGCTTTGTTCCAGTAAGCCCCTCCATCCATGCACACCTTTCAAGTGCTCTGTCCAGTTTTACCACTACGAATACCTTAACTTTGTTTATTCTCCTAGGCTTACATTCTTACTATCTTCAAGCTGGCACCGACTGAATCTCGTTTGGACTCGAGTTTCCCTTTCACTGACTCCACCTTTGCCAGCACTCGCGGCACAGGAGCAGCAAAGAGCCTCTGTTAAGAGTTACAGAATTCCCTCACGCCTCATTTCTGACATTTCGCCGACTGCCGCGCACCCCTCGCCCCCCGTCTCCCGCGCTGCCTCTGTTCCCCTGTCACTTGTAGCCGACATGGCTCTCCTCTAGCTTCCTCGTTCCGCAGCTCTTCCCTCTACACACGGACTTCTCTTGACGAAGGCTTAAAAATACGCAAGGGCGAGATGAGTACGTGTCCCCCAAGGTCTGTGCGCGGGCGGGAGCGACCCTCCCCTCAGGCGCTGAGGCAACGCGACCGCCCCGGGCCGTGACGAGGGGCCGCGACTCCCCTGAGGGGAGGCCGGGGACGCTTTTCCCGCCCTCCCCCCCCGGCGGCTCCCCTCAGCGCCGCCGGCCGCTCCTCCTCTTCCTCCGTCTGTTTCGCTGCCTTGTCTCCTCCCCCGGCCCCATGTTTTTAACAGTTACCAGAGGCAGCAGCTTGGCGCTCGCCGACCAAAACAAACAGCGTTTCCAAGGACAGGCCCGGGGGGAGGAAGGGAGGAGGAGAAGGGAAAGGGGAACCCTCTCCCTGCCAGCCCCGGGGAAGGCTGCCCGCCTCCAAGCGTCCCGACCCCGCATGCCCCGGGGAGGGAGCCGGGGTGCCCTTGCTCTGCGCTGCCGCAGCGGGGCTGCGGGGGGGGACGGACGGACGGACCGCCGCGGCTGTGCCCGTCGGGACGGATCGTCCTGGCGGACACCGGGCGTTAAGGGACGGCGACAGTCCAGGAGACACGGGACAAGAGATGCACTACAGGGCTGCGAAACCCTCCTGCTGCAGCGGGAGCCCCACCGGGGCAGCAAACCAGAGCAGAGCGCCAGCCCGCCACTCTTCCCCCCCCCGGAAGGCAGCAGCCCCCGGGCCGGTTCTGACCCGGCCTCACCCCGCAGCTCACGGCCTGTACGTGCCGGAGGGCACCGCCGTCGGACGGCACAGCTGCAG